ATAATGCTGGGAAGCAAAACAATAGGAAACGGACACATATATTTACTTATATGTGCGGATTAGAAAAAAAAGAGGCACTTACGTGGCTCGCCTGAATGCGCATCCAGAGTAGGAGGATATAGAGTCAGGGAGAGTGTGAACTGAAGGAATCAACACACACATCCACACACACACACACAAACACAAAGACCGACATGCGCTGGTATGCGTGCTACCCAGAACCACCAACTTGCAGACGCGGTGCAGACGAGTACCACCATAATAATAAAAATGGGAGCGTAAACTGGGGAGAAGCGAACAAAACAAACAAGAAAACATCTACATTTTTTTTTTGCCGTTTTATTCAACGCGTGTGGCTCAACGTCCCGGTACTTTGGCGGAGGAGGCGGAGTATTTGTCGTGCGTTTCACACTTATGCACTACTCGACTCGTGGAAGTGCAGACAGCCAGCGTAGAAAGAAGGTCGTTCACAGGGCCGTGTTCAGGACGTACAACTTCAATGTGAATAAATACCATCTGAACACTTTTTTAAATATGAAAGGCAAAATGGGAGATACAAGACAATAGGTGCACAGAAATCGAAGAGAAATGCTCGCTTTCAACGCAACGCTGCATCGCCACGGCAGTGAACAATCTGCGACAGTAAATCAGAATTGTAGTGACTGGAAGTAAGTAAAATATATATATATATATATATATATAATGGAAATGAAGAAAAAAAGTGGAGAGGAAATTTTTATCTCGTAGAGAAAAAAATAGTTGATGTACAGCTTACTTAAATAAAGGTAGAAGCTTCCCGCAAGTCGATGCGTATGTACTAGCCTACATTCCATTTCGACCGCTCGGATTGGGATAATGATAATAATAGAAGTATCTGTGCGCACACGCGCCAGACAAACACTAAATAGAGCTTGCTCTCTAATCATCGAGCACCATGAAGCGCTTGTCATCTTCCATGTACGTCTTCGGATCCGCCGGCTTCTCAATCGAACCGAACGGCATCTGCGCGATCAGACTCCAGTGCTCCGGAATGTCGAAGGCCTGGCGGAGGTCAGCCTCAATCAACTGGTTGTAGTGCTGCAGAGAGGCACCGATGCCGTCCTGCGCCAGCGCCGTCCACACAGCAAACTGAGCAATCGCGGATGAGTGCTGCGACCACACAGGGAAGTTGTCCGCGTAGAGGGGGTAGGCCTTTTGTTGGCCCTTGATGGCTTCGGTGTCCTCATAAAACAACACGGTGCCCGCACCCGCGAGGAAGCACCCGTTCACCTTCGCCTCGCTCGCCGCGTACTGCTCCGCGCTCGTGACCTTCTTCAGCGCCGCCTTCACGATGTCCCACACCTTCTTGTGGCTGTTGCCGTACAAGATGACCGCGCGCGAGCTCTGCACGTTGAAGGACGAGGGACACTGACGGATCGCGTCTTCGATGGTCTTCGTTACCTCAGCGTGGCTCCTCGGCAGCTTGTTACCGAGGTTGTAGATGCTGCGGCGCTTCGAGATGGCTTCAACGTACTTAGAGGCGGGCATTTTGGGGAAGGGTGGGGTGTGAAGTGGCACTTGGGAAAAACAAGAAGGGATACTGGTAGAAGGGGTGTGAAGGTGAGAGGGCAGGAAAAAAGGTGGAGTAGACTCTGGCGATTTTGTTTGGAGAGGCGTTGCGCCATGCGTAGTGTTCAGGAGAAGAAACGGTGGCGGGAAAGAGAAAGAAGAGAGAAAGGGAGAGGGGAGAGGGGGAGAGGGGAGAGTGAAAGGCGGAAGGAGAGGAGACGGCGAGGCGAACCGGATACGTCTCCGTGACAGCGATACACTTCAACAGATTACGCTGCATTCCAAGTTCAAAAAAGACCAGTGATGATTTTCAGGTACTAGCTTGGTTTGCCCACGTGGAGAGCGAGAAGACGCGCATGACGGCCTTCTCGACACAAACGGAATCAGGACCAGCGGCTTACCTCAACGACACGACCGTACTGGCCGACACTACTTGAAATATGATGAGAATTCTCTTTCCCTGAAAACAAAGAAGCTTTCTTCTTTGACAGTAATAATGCTGGGAAGCAAAACAATAGGAAACGGACACATATATTTACTTATATGTGCGGATTAGAAAAAAAAGAGGCACTTACGTGGCTCGCCTGAATGCGCATCCAGAGTAGGAGGATATAGAGTCAGGGAGAGTGTGAACTGAAGGAATCAACACACACATCCACACACACACACACAAACACAAAGACCGACATGCGCTGGTATGCGTGCTACCCAGAACCACCAACTTGCAGACGCGGTGCAGACGAGTACCACCATAATAATAAAAATGGGAGCGTAAACTGGGGAGAAGCGAACAAAACAAACAAGAAAACATCTACATTTTTTTTTTGCCGTTTTATTCAACGCGTGTGGCTCAACGTCCCGGTACTTTGGCGGAGGAGGCGGAGTATTTGTCGTGCGTTTCACACTTATGCACTACTCGACTCGTGGAAGTGCAGACAGCCAGCGTAGAAAGAAGGTCGTTCACAGGGCCGTGTTCAGGACGTACAACTTCAATGTGAATAAATACCATCTGAACACTTTTTTAAATATGAAAGGCAAAATGGGAGATACAAGACAATAGGTGCACAGAAATCGAAGAGAAATGCTCGCTTTCAACGCAACGCTGCATCGCCACGGCAGTGAACAATCTGCGACAGTAAATCAGAATTGTAGTGACTGGAAGTAAGTAAAATATATATATATATATATATATATAATGGAAATGAAGAAAAAAAGTGGAGAGGAAATTTTTATCTCGTAGAGAAAAAAATAGTTGATGTACAGCTTACTTAAATAAAGGTAGAAGCTTCCCGCAAGTCGATGCGTATGTACTAGCCTACATTCCATTTCGACCGCTCGGATTGGGATAATGATAATAATAGAAGTATCTGTGCGCACACGCGCCAGACAAACACTAAATAGAGCTTGCTCTCTAATCATCGAGCACCATGAAGCGCTTGTCATCTTCCATGTACGTCTTCGGATCCGCCGGCTTCTCAATCGAACCGAACGGCATCTGCGCGATCAGACTCCAGTGCTCCGGAATGTCGAAGGCCTGGCGGAGGTCAGCCTCAATCAACTGGTTGTAGTGCTGCAGAGAGGCACCGATGCCGTCCTGCGCCAGCGCCGTCCACACAGCAAACTGAGCAATCGCGGATGAGTGCTGCGACCACACAGGGAAGTTGTCCGCGTAGAGGGGGTAGGCCTTTTGTTGGCCCTTGATGGCTTCGGTGTCCTCATAAAACAACACGGTGCCCGCACCCGCGAGGAAGCACCCGTTCACCTTCGCCTCGCTCGCCGCGTACTGCTCCGCGCTCGTGACCTTCTTCAGCGCCGCCTTCACGATGTCCCACACCTTCTTGTGGCTGTTGCCGTACAAGATGACCGCGCGCGAGCTCTGCACGTTGAAGGACGAGGGACACTGACGGATCGCGTCTTCGATGGTCTTCGTTACCTCAGCGTGGCTCCTCGGCAGCTTGTTACCGAGGTTGTAGATGCTGCGGCGCTTCGAGATGGCTTCAACGTACTTAGAGGCGGGCATTTTGGGGAAGGGTGGGGTGTGAAGTGGCACTTGGGAAAAACAAGAAGGGATACTGGTAGAAGGGGTGTGAAGGTGAGAGGGCAGGAAAAAAGGTGGAGTAGACTCTGGCGATTTTGTTTGGAGAGGCGTTGCGCCATGCGTAGTGTTCAGGAGAAGAAACGGTGGCGGGAAAGAGAAAGAAGAGAGAAAGGGAGAGGGGAGAGGGGGAGAGGGGAGAGTGAAAGGCGGAAGGAGAGGAGACGGCGAGGCGAACCGGATACGTCTCCGTGACAGCGATACACTTCAACAGATTACGCTGCATTCCAAGTTCAAAAAAGACCAGTGATGATTTTCAGGTACTAGCTTGGTTTGCCCACGTGGAGAGCGAGAAGACGCGCATGACGGCCTTCTCGACACAAACGGAATCAGGACCAGCGGCTTACCTCAACGACACGACCGTACTGGCCGACACTACTTGAAATATGATGAGAATTCTCTTTCCCTGAAAACAAAGAAGCTTTCTTCTTTGACAGTAATAATGCTGGGAAGCAAAACAATAGGAAACGGACACATATATTTACTTATATGTGCGGATTAGAAAAAAAAGAGGCACTTACGTGGCTCGCCTGAATGCGCATCCAGAGTAGGAGGATATAGAGTCAGGGAGAGTGTGAACTGAAGGAATCAACACACACATCCACACACACACACACAAACACAAAGACCGACATGCGCTGGTATGCGTGCTACCCAGAACCACCAACTTGCAGACGCGGTGCAGACGAGTACCACCATAATAATAAAAATGGGAGCGTAAACTGGGGAGAAGCGAACAAAACAAACAAGAAAACATCTACATTTTTTTTTTGCCGTTTTATTCAACGCGTGTGGCTCAACGTCCCGGTACTTTGGCGGAGGAGGCGGAGTATTTGTCGTGCGTTTCACACTTATGCACTACTCGACTCGTGGAAGTGCAGACAGCCAGCGTAGAAAGAAGGTCGTTCACAGGGCCGTGTTCAGGACGTACAACTTCAATGTGAATAAATACCATCTGAACACTTTTTTAAATATGAAAGGCAAAATGGGAGATACAAGACAATAGGTGCACAGAAATCGAAGAGAAATGCTCGCTTTCAACGCAACGCTGCATCGCCACGGCAGTGAACAATCTGCGACAGTAAATCAGAATTGTAGTGACTGGAAGTAAGTAAAATATATATATATATATATATATATAATGGAAATGAAGAAAAAAAGTGGAGAGGAAATTTTTATCTCGTAGAGAAAAAAATAGTTGATGTACAGCTTACTTAAATAAAGGTAGAAGCTTCCCGCAAGTCGATGCGTATGTACTAGCCTACATTCCATTTCGACCGCTCGGATTGGGATAATGATAATAATAGAAGTATCTGTGCGCACACGCGCCAGACAAACACTAAATAGAGCTTGCTCTCTAATCATCGAGCACCATGAAGCGCTTGTCATCTTCCATGTACGTCTTCGGATCCGCCGGCTTCTCAATCGAACCGAACGGCATCTGCGCGATCAGACTCCAGTGCTCCGGAATGTCGAAGGCCTGGCGGAGGTCAGCCTCAATCAACTGGTTGTAGTGCTGCAGAGAGGCACCGATGCCGTCCTGCGCCAGCGCCGTCCACACAGCAAACTGAGCAATCGCGGATGAGTGCTGCGACCACACAGGGAAGTTGTCCGCGTAGAGGGGGTAGGCCTTTTGTTGGCCCTTGATGGCTTCGGTGTCCTCATAAAACAACACGGTGCCCGCACCCGCGAGGAAGCACCCGTTCACCTTCGCCTCGCTCGCCGCGTACTGCTCCGCGCTCGTGACCTTCTTCAGCGCCGCCTTCACGATGTCCCACACCTTCTTGTGGCTGTTGCCGTACAAGATGACCGCGCGCGAGCTCTGCACGTTGAAGGACGAGGGACACTGACGGATCGTGGACTCAATAATGTTGGTGACCGACTTCTGGCTCCGCGGCAACTTGTTACCGAGGTTGTAGATGCTGCGGCGCTTCGAGATTTCGTCAATGTACTGCTTCGCGGCACCATTGCCAGAGGCGTTTGACTTGGCGGCCGTTTTGGCAGCCGACTTGTCTTCCGCGCCGCCGTCCTTGACAGCCGTCGACTTCTTCGAGAAGCAATGGAAGGGCATGGTGAAGGTGCTTGGCTTAAGATAGTCGTAGGGGAGAGAAAGAGTACAAATACACACACTAGGTGGATGAAGGTGAGGTGAAGCTGAGATGAAATGCGAAAGCTGTAGACTGTATCGGCTTAGGGTGAATTTTGAACTTCTGCGGCGCGGCGACACGCAAAGTGAAAAAAAAAAAGAAATGACAAAGCCGGTGGAATAACATCGACACACACAAACCAAACGCGGGGTTGACGAAGGAGAAGAAGTGAAGACCGGCGAATCTCTAACCAATCAGCTTCGAATATATATATTACTTTACGCCTGTACGTCGGTCAGCCAAAGAGGGGGGAGGGTTCGGCATCTCTCTTGAGATCAAAACAGCGCACAGAGAAGATGTGTTCGACTTTTCTCCACTTTCTTCACAAATCGCGACGTGCAAAACAGGCCGCAGCTTCACGTCTTACGAAGTGGATCAAGCAAAAGCAAACCATACCTAGGAGGAGGTTTCAAGATTTCATCAAATGCACAGACAGAAAAGCAAGGCAGTTTGAATAGGCACAGTAAAGACCGCTGTCATTGTTGATAACACGGCGGTGCTACACAGAGACGAAGGGACGACGAAGAAAAAAAGATCGAGAAGATCGCCGTGTGTGACTGGAAACAATCGAACTAGTAAATGAACAGAACAAAGAATCAGAGAAAAAAAACTTGAAGCGTGAAGTGCAGCTCCCTAAGCAGAACGTCTCGGTTCGCGACAAGGAAGAGAAAGCGGCCCTCCTTCATCGCTTTGCTCGTCCTTGCCCTCCTTGATAAGCGTGATGCTACCATGTTACACAGGAGGCGTGGACGGAGCCATTGAACTGGCCGCCGGTGAAGTTGGTAGTGCGGCCCCGTCAACGGCCTTTTCCGCTGGTGCAGCAGCGGAAGGCAACGCCGACATGCCAGGAGGTGCAAGTGCAGCAAATGCCGTGGTGGACGTTTCATCAGCCGTCGCGACAGGAACGCAGGCCGACATCGACGGAGGCGCAGTGGCCGTTGAAACTTCAGTCGCTGAGACTTCTCCGTCCGTTGCTGCCCTCGACGCTGCTGCTGCCGCCGCTTCCGACGCAATTTGCACCCGCGCCGCCTCTAACCGTCGTTCGCGCTCTTCGCTTGTCAGCGAACGCCAGCGTTCGCCAATGACGCGCATGCGCTCCTTGGGGGCTAAGTGGTGTAGCGACGCCATCTGATCCTTTACAAAGATGGAGTAGGGAGACGGCGGCCCACGAGGCTTGGCCACCGCCTTCGCCGTTTCATCGTCACCTTGCTCTTCCGTCGCTCTCCCTGCTGCCGTTTCCGTTGTTGCTTTCTTCGACTTCCTTGCGCCAGCGCCGGCCGGTCGCTTCTTCTTCTTTTTCTTGGTGGCCTTCTTCTTTTTCGATTGCGCCGGTGCGAGTTTCTTCTTGACCACCGCGACCACCGGCAGCGGTGGCGCCACGGGCAGTTTGGAATGCTCCGCGTTGTACCGCTCCGCGCGCGCCGCCAGCGCCTCCTTCGCCTTCTCCGGGAGCGTCTCGTAAATTTGCAGCAACTTCACCTCTCGATCACGCGGGTTGGATGCGCCGCCCAGTGCCGGGTTCGTCCGCTGCTCCTTCACGAAGAACTCATAGGGCGTGACGGGCTTGAACGAAGCAGCGGCACGTTTTAACGCTTCGATGCGCGACTCCTCAATGGCGGCGCGCTGCTTCAGATCCAACACGGTTTCTGCCGGGAGCTCCTTGAACATTTCTGCCATAACAACACGTCGGCTAGCCGGAGAAAGTTCGCGTAGAGAGTAGTTGACGAGCAGCTGCTCGCGGCAGAAGAGTTCAAACACCTTCTTCTTGGCTGCGCTTCGGAGGAGGGTCAGGCAGAACATGCTTTTTTACTGCGCTTTTTTGATTACAGAAAGCCGTGTCGCAGCTGCGCCGGACACATAGAGGCGGGCAGAAAAAAATGTATGTATGTATGTAGAGATGTCTATATAACTCTATAAACGAAATGTCTCAGTTTTCAGTTCTACGCCTGTACTTTTGATATGCGTTAATCAAGATACACAGATGAAACCGCCTCTCCCGGAAGAGGCACCGATAAAAGGTCTTTCTTTTTAACCCCCTAACAAAGTGGTAGAAACGTGTGCAGTCACGTCATGTCGTTTTTTTGTGTTTGTGTGTTTTGCAGTTGTGCAAAAAGGTGCAATTCATGAAAGGGAAACCAGAAGAGTTTCAAACGAATTCTTGGTGATCACAAGACAGATTCGACTACTCCACAGCAACCATTTTTGTTCGCACTGCAGCAACACACATACACACACACACACACACACACTGAACGACAGTACAAGAACTTACAGTTTTGGCCGCCATTTAGCGCTGTGTTGCGTGCGGTGCATCTCACAAAGATGACAATGCACGCTGCTTCGACAACTTGCCTTCATTTCAACTCCGCGCGTTCGTCGCTTGCGGAACGAGCACGTGCGACGGTGCTCCTTCATGTCCCTTTCGAAGTCTGACACTCGGTGGCTTGAAGTAGAAGAAGAAGAGGCCGACGCTGTGGAGCTCAAATGTGGTAATCGGTAGTCGTTTTTGTTTGTTTTGTTGGTATTTAGTTTTCGCCATCTCACCTGAACGAAACACTGAGAGAATCTATGCGTTTGCGGAAACAGCCAGAAAAGGTAAAAAGAAGGGAGGAAACGTGTTTTGTACAAAAACGCAAAATTGTTGAAAGAAAAAGAAAAGGGTGGGAGGCAAAACACACCAAATGGAGGCGTGTGCGCCGCGAACACGCAGCAACCACGGCCAGGGGTTCTCAAAGAACAAACAACCAAACACATCCGTAAAGAAAAAAGGGGGGAGCAACCCCATCACGCGGCGACGTCGAACAGAGTAGAGAAGCGAGCACAGTTCACCTTGACTCTTTCAGACATAAACACCCCTACGCAGGTGATGCTTGTGGACACTGTATGCTGTCCGATTTTCGATGAGAGATATTTGCTTCAGATATGTACAAGGACGCTGCATCGCTCTGTTGAGGAAAACATCCTTGCTTCTGAAGACAGTCATTTCTATCTTGATTTCTGAGCGAACTCATATCACCCTCCCTCCCCTTCCAAAAAAAAAACTAAAATCTACAGAAGGAAGAGAGCTACGAAACTGAGACAACAACAGAAAAGCGCGTTAACTTGGGGCCGCATCTCATTTGAGATCAAGTATTACATCGGAGGTAAAACGTTCTCCTTCTCCGTCTACCAGCTCCTCCTCTCTTTCACCAAAGTTTCAATAGTTTGCGATGGCCGCGGGATGAGCTCATGGCGCGTTTTCAGAATTGCAGAGCAAACTAAATAGTAATAGTAGCAACAATGAAAGGAGGTTGCATGAAGACGTCTGTGCATTTCGCTTTGGTACCTCTACGAGGAGCACAGGCACCAGTGTGGGACACCCTGTCAAAGCAACCGGGGCGAACAAAATGCGGTGTGTTCCTTCGATTCGTTAACCGTGCTGTGTTTTCCCTTCTCTTTCGGTTACGAGACCTCCACGTAGAATTCTCCACAATTGCAAGTACTGGGAGAGTGGACGATTTCATACCTAACGCGTTGACTGTTTGTATGTTGTTGCTTTTCTCTCTCGGTGGCCCGTGCATCATCGTCCAAATCTAAAACAAACTCCAAACTCACATATATATTATAGTATGTGCGTTTGTAGAAGCTCCGTCTCTATGATTTTTCTTACCTTTTCCTCGGCACCCCACCGCGGACAATCATCACCACCCTTGGCGTGCTTTGCAGTTTTCCGTTCTACTTGCCCGTGCGGGTCTGTTGCTGTTTCCACAGCTTCGCCACGGCCTTCATGCGGTCGAGGTGCGGCAACTTGTCAAAGCGGCCGATGTTCGCCTGCACAAACTTGGCGTACTCCGACGGGGTGCGTGCGGCGCCGGTCTTCGCCCCTTTCGCCGCCTTCGCGGCCTTGGGCGCCTTGTCCTTGCGCTGCAGGGACGGGTGGGCGGCGGCGCGTTTCTCGAGGGAGGCCTTGTCGGCGGGGCTGAGGGATTTGTACAGCTTCGACGTCATCTTGCCGCGCTCTGCGATCCGCAGACCTTTCAGCTTCGGGTTGTTCTTCTGCTCCATCATGAAGAGCGTGTAGGCACCGATGGCCAGACGGCGAGGAACAAAGCGGAGCATTCTTTCCGTTTTTTAAAAAGAGTTTATTACGTCGATGTGGATAGTAAGTTCTGGGGAGTGGTCGCCGAAGGAGTTCTAAAAGGCCAAGAGTTACCTGCGCGCGAGAGTGCGGAAAGGTAGAGAGAAAGATCGAGACGCTAAACAATTACGATGATATGCTGTGTGCTACACCTTCGATAAACTCGGCGGATCTGTACGGTTATTATTATTGTGATTCAAACAGGGCAACAGAAAGGACCAAAAGCAGGAAATATGTAAAAGGAAAAACAAAGACATGAAGATGGAGGGGAAAAGCGTCTCGATCGTAAACCGGTGCACCTCATTCAAATGAAAATATTTGATAATCCACAGGAATACTTTGCGTCTTGTTCTCGGTGAAGCGATTAGCTCTCGCTGACTAGAAAGCGGTGCATGAGAGACCAACTTTTGGCATTTGCACGTCAGACCCCAGTCTCACCATTGGAGCACGAAGTTCACCGCTGCACTCGTCGCTGAGGTACAAGAGCTTTTGTTTCTTTTCACACCTAACGCCTTCGCTACCCCCACCCCCACCGGTGCAAAAACGAAAGAGAGGGCGGTCGACAGTTGCGCTTCAAGGAAGAACGATGCCCACGCCTGCGCCCGGCGAGCAGATGCACGTTCTCCTGTGTGCGCCGCTCTGACCTCCTTCTGGTTCTCCCGCGGTGCGGACACCTCACGCCAACACCGTGCTGTGAGCATCTACTTTTCTATTTTCGTTGTTCTCTGCCCGGTTAGGAACGTAAATCACGAAGAAGAAAAAAAAACACTCACTCAGTTCTTCCTTTTTTTCTTTAAAATGTTTTTGGACAACGTACGTGCACCGAAGAAGTAATTCAAAAAAAGGAGAGAGAAACACGTCAAACGTGTCACAGAAGACATTGCATTCCTTTTGCCTGGATTGGGGGAGTTTGTCGGTCATACTCAGGAGTCGGAGAGCCCAAGTAAGATGAAGGTAACTGGATTGCGTGTATAGAAGATACCGAAGGTAAGTGAACAGAAAAAAGATCAACGATGAAGAAAAGAGGCGTTGGTTCATCATCTTCTTTCCGATTAAATCTTCTGCAAGGAGCAAACAGTCGGCTTCTGACGTACTTCTACTTTTGTTTTCTCCTTTAAAAAAAATCAGCTAGTCTGAAATAAAATCTCACAGAAGTGTATGTATGTATAAAAACAGGAGGTTTGCTTTGACCCAGTAAAATGAAAAAAACAAAACAAGAAGAAAACAAAAACGAGAAAGCTTTGGGCAACGCGTTCAGACGCCAGTGTTCCACAACGTATCCGCGTTTTCATTCCGCAAGTCGCAGCTTTCCGCCACTTTCGTCTCCTCCATACAGAAATGAAAATCAAAAAAAAAAAACAGAGAAACAACACGCAAAAAAAAGGACTCTCACACAACGGTAAATCCGTCCAGCTTGGTGCACCTACAGCACGCACCTATCTCGTTTTCCTCGCTCCAAACAGGACGTTCTTCTCCTACAGCAATCTTTCCTTTCACGTCAAAACGGTGTCCTACCTGCCTCTTGCACTCTTGCGCCGACTATGCGAAGAACAGCAACTAATTGTTTTCCTGATGAAAATCAAGACACACAGCGCCCGCCACCAGCTCGGAACGGGTGAATGGAAACACCGCCAAGAGATTGCAAGAGAGGGAAAGGCTTAACAGGACCACAGCACAACAACAACAAAAAGTCACAGGGAGATATCGTTACAGCGTGAACTGAAAAGCTAGTATATAGGATTTAATAAAAAAGAAAAAAGAAAGAAAGGACGGTACAAGAATTCAATACAGAAGAGGAATAAATACAACGTAAAGAAGGAAAAGAAGAAGAGGCAAAAGACACATCGATGCGTGTTGTCAATGAGTGCTGCTTCGATGCGGAAAAAAAAACTAACAAAGAGAGAGATATAAATAATCATAAAAAAAAACGCCCCCGACAAGGAGTTCAGCGACTTCCTTTTGTTGTTGTTTTTCCGGTGAACGCAATGTGACTTCAAACAAGAAACAGCTGCAGAACAACAACAACAAGAAAGATTCAGTCACGAGATCAACGGTGCTGCATCTATAGCGCCCATATTTCTTCATTCTTTCTGTTTCTGCCGCAACACCGTACACGCTGGTTCATCGATACGCGACGCGCCAGCAACGCTGTCACACCTCTGTTGCCCACAAATCTGAATATTCCTTGCGTCACCGCTGAAGGACAGAAACAGAGTGCGGCGTAGGCGACGAAGGCGTGGTCACCTCACTCACTGCCGGCACAAACAAGAATACTCGCGACGGTTCAGAAGAAAGAGAAGGGGAAAGAAGTGCAGTGCACTCACACGTTGGTTGCTTACATTTGCCTCTATGTCTTCTTGTTTCTTTACGCGTAGGCCAGGATCACCGAGCCGCGGTTCCTGCTCGAGAACTCGCCACGACCCTTGCCGGTCGGGCGCGTCTCAGAGGGCGTCGGCTCGTGAGTCTCCTGGTTGACACGCTGGCCGTTGCGCTTCGTCGGTCTCGGCGCCGGCTTCGGGTCCACGGTGGGGTCATAGTAGCGGAGCAGGTCGGGCGTGCCGGCGTTCTTCTTCGACAGCGCCTTGCGCGGGCGGTCGGCGTCATTGAAGACCGGATCGGCGCGCTTCTTTCCCCTACCGCCCTCCGCGCTGTCCTCGGCCGGCGGGATGCCGCCGCTGAACAGGTTCGCCGTGCTACGCGGCGGGCGGCAGCTGCCACGGGCCAAGCCCCGCGGGTGCTCCTCCTCCGGGACGCCCCAGCGGCCGGTGCCGAGAATGTCGTGCTCCTGCTTCGCCTTGGTGTTGATGGGGCGGAACATCGGCGACCGGCGCGGCGGCGCGTCCGGCGCGTCGAACCGGCGCGGGCCGAGCTGCGGCTTCGGCTGCGGCTTCTCGCTCAGCTCCTCCGGGGAGTAGCTGTAGAGGTTCAGCACATCGACAGATTCGTTGGCCCTGTTCGACGTTTTGTGGCAGGGCGGCAGCCCGTTGTCGAAGCCCTCCTCGCCCTCCTTCAACAGAGGTACCTGGCCGAACATCTTCGCGTCCTTGTACGGCGCACGCACGTGGCGCTTGCCGGTCGTCGGCGCGGCGTCGCGGGCCGGGCGCGGGTCCGTGTCCTCGAAGTACGGCGCGTCCATCGGGTCCTGCGGCCGGGTGATCTTCACACCACTGTGCCACTCCTTTTCAGGAGCCGTGACGATGCAATTGTAGGTCAGGCCATCGCGGTAGCCACCGGGGGCAGAGGCTGCACTCTTGTTGGCCGCGTTGTGCGCGTCGCGAGCACGTGAGGCACCCTGTCCGCGCTTCGCCGGCGCACCGTAGGACTGCGCACCACCGCCGTTCGCGCTGCCGTTGGCGCCGTTGTCCGTCATTAAGTACTCGTCCGTCAACATGTAGCCTACGGAGTCACGGTTCGCGTCCGGGTTGCGGCGGATGCCGGAGGACTGGCGCGGGGGCTGGCGCGGGCCGCTGAAGAACTCGCGCGGCGTCGCGAAGTTGTTGTGCGGGGGGTTGCCGTGGCGGCGGCCCGCGTTGGGGCGCACCTCGTCGCACTCGCGCACCGGCGCCTCCCCCCGCAGGACGCGGGACACGTTCGCACCGCTGGTGTTGTTGCGCGTACGCTGGCGGAGCGACACGTACTCAGGTGCTTTGTGGGACATTGTTTCTTTTGCTTTAATTGTGTGTGTACGGATGTGCTGGGGGCTTTACCCAAGTACGAAGCGAGTAAACAAGGCGAATAATATAAATATAGTTGTTGTTGTTTTTGGCCAGGTGCACTAGAATTTCTAATGCAAATGAATCAGGCGAAACTCGATCTCACAGTATTCGATGATGCAGAAAGATGATGAAAAGACAAAAATGAATGGAAAAGGGAAAAATACGAATACTCAAAGAGGTAAGGCAACTACTGTTGCAGTACGCACCGAAGAGGACGGGATGAAAGTCAGAGATGCAGACACATAATTGTTTTTCATTTGTTTAGCAGATGCGCCAAAAGCCCCGTGGAGTACGAGGGGTGTGGGGGGGGAGGGAGAAAAGACGCGGCAGTGGCGAGGCAACACGAAGTACAGTCACGGTTCAAAAGGGCGAAAAAGAGAGAAACATATACGCGCGTTACAACAGTAGCTGCCATCGCCCTGGCACACTAATAAATATATAGCAGTTTTCTTTCCTTCCAATACGCATCGAAATGCACGGAAAAGATGCGTTCTTTGAGTAGAGCAGAGACATACGCACGCACAAGGACACGTAGCGCGACGTTACTTGCGACACGGTGGAGTGATTCCTAACCGTCTTCTTCATTTCTTGTGCTCTTGCAAGACCACAGAGCACGCGCCGTCTCATCGCGGATAAGACGCTTCAGGCAACAAAAAAAAAATGGCAAGCAGATCCAAAGCAGACCAAGCTTCGACACGATGCAGCACGCAACGACAACATGCACACAAGAGAAAGAGGGTGCGATCTCGCTAAACCTATACAGCGTAAAGAGCATAGAAAGAAGCGACTAAACTCCTTTGCTCAGCACACAGACGTGGCTAGCTCCACTAACGTGTCGTGTGTCGAGACACGAAACACACGGGAAGATCTTCGACAGCCGATGAGGATAACACATGCATTGAAAGGCCAGAGTGAATCCAGAGAGCTGTAGTCGCCCGACTTCACGATAACCAACAACACGCACAATATGTAAAAAGAAAACCATTTCGAACTCCGCAAAAAAAAAAGCCGTGAAGCAATATAATAATAACTGTCTTTTTACCGAAAGCGCACACACGTCACCGAAGGCACTTCAGATTCTCGATACGTATTGCTGCTAAGCGGTTCAGTCATCCATCCCTCGCACTTTTTAACGGCTCGAGAGAGGTGTGTAGTAAAGGTAAAGAGCATTCTCATCATATGCATTTCATTATTTCTCGAACGGCAGCGCAATTCTAGAAACGTCAACCGACAGAGCATAAGTCTTCGACAACCGATGAGGATAGCACTGAGATTGAAAGAGCTCAAAGAATCCAGAGAGTTGTAGTTGTTGCTTTTTTCCTCCAAGAACAAGAGAATACTTCAGCGCACACGACAACTTAATAGGAGAGAAGTACTTGTGACAAGAGGAGTAGAGGGTCAGATTCTCGATACGTATTGCTGCTAAGCAATTCAGTCATCCACTACGAGCTTTTTAACGGCACGATAACGTGTGTGAAATAAAATAAGATAGCGTTCTCATCATCCCCTTACTGTGCTATTCACCGTAATCTCCTCGGCGGTACTTTTTGTTGTAGATAGAGGAAAAAGCAAAAACCTGTAGAACGCTTCGATGATGTGGATAAATTAGATGGGAAGGAAGACAACAGATAAGAGGAGTACACAGTTTTGGCCAAAATAATGCCAGCGCGATTGCAGTGTAGCACGTGCTGCCTCAGTGGAGGCGATCATTCGAGTTTTCGTTAGCTTTCCACCTTCCTTCAAATCACTGTCCCTTCAAAAGCTTTGAGTTTAGATGACTGTTGAACACGGCACCAAAAAAATACGTTTCGTCGAAGGCGCGAAGTGGCCTTGAAGTTGGCGTTCAATAATGCACCAGTCTTCGGTCTCACGATCCTGGATGCAATTACATCTGCATTTCTCTTTAAAGATCTGCGTAGGGTCGCAGATCGCTTCAAAAAGCTGCGAAAGAACACCAAAAGCTCATCACATGCACACCGCCCGACCGCAATTTATTACACGTAAAACAACAGAAGAGTTTTTTATTGAACGCGTTCTGCCCTCGTTTCAGGTTTCGAGCATCAGAACGTCGCAGGAGCACAATATGATTATTTAAGACAGAGAGAAAGCTTTCAAGTACACATTCTTGTTCTGCGGGGACACCTACACTTCCACAACGGCTGTAAGGTTACTTCCGTTTTCATTACAAAAAACAAAAGGGTGTTTCCCATGAATGCTTGACAGCTACAACGTGCGCACGTTTTAAACGATCTCTCTTTGAGGGGTGTGCTGCATCGCAGACAAGGTGATCCAACTGCGGAGGAAAGGTAAGGAGCAATAATTTTGTTTTGTTTTTTTTTTTTAACACGGAGGGAATGCAGAGGTAAAATAAGGCAAGAGAGAGAGAGAGAGAAGGCACGGGAAAGCAAAACGGATGCGACAGCGGAGGTGGAACACACACGCACACACAGAGGAAGAAGAATACGGAATTTGTAGAAAGGACAGGCGAAGAACGCGGCCCGCTGTTTCAATAAGACAGTGAGGCGTGCGTATGCAAAAACAGCAACAACCAAAATGAGAGAGACGGTGCTATTCGACGACGAAAAGAAGCAAAAGGGCAAACACGAGGAGAAAGAAGTGCGTGCATTCTCTGGGAGATCAATTCCCGTCCTCAGTTGCTCAAGCGCCATTCAAAAAACACCCTACGTCACTTTGGTACTTCCGGCGTGGCGTGGAGAGGTCCGCGTTGCGCGTCGCACAATACAGCTACACAACAAAAAATGCACACCGGGAGCAGACACAACGACGAGGAGGAGCCTACGTTGCTTCGTGCCGCATGTACGGCTCACGCAGGTACTCCGGAGATCTTCCTTCAGTAATTTAGCTGGCATCATCACTGAGTCGCCTTCAAACCGTCACGGCCCCCGCCACGGATGTAGGCACAAAGCGACTCAAGAAAGAGGTCGAGCGTTTTCGCGTGCATGCACAAATGATGGGCGTGCGCAGGCGTGACTAAAAAGTTTCTCCTGGGCACGTTTTCCTCCTCAAGGGCGGCGATGCTCGCACGCACCTTCGCCGCCTGCATTGACGACAGTTGTCGTATGATCTGCTCTTCCAGCTTTTCCGTCTCAGCCGACCTGTACTCGTGACGCTGCCACTTCAACAGCGCATCGTCGCCATTCGCCATGGTCTTCTTCGCTGACTGGCCTTTCATGGAGTTGTCCTGCATTTCGTGGGGAAAAGGCGGGGATTCGTCACCGCTGGTAACTGCCCTGGTGTATTCAGCTACTCCGCTGTGCACCCTCGCCAGCATGGCAGCCGCGTCGCCCCGCAACGTGCCTTTGACAAACAGACACTCCGAGCCGTAGAAGAGTCCGCACAAGCCGATCAACTCGTTCAGCTCTATGTAGTCAAAGCGGACGTGCGTGGCGAGACGCCCAGAACGCAACAGGGCAGGGTCCAGCCGCTCTGGGTGATCAGCGATCATCACCACAATGCGCTCCGGATCCTCAACGACCCCGTCGAGAATGTTCAGCAACGAGGACAGGTTAATCGCATCTAACTTCGCATCCTCCCTCGCAAATAGGGCGCCACCCAAACCCAGAAGCTCCGGCACCGCCATCAGTGGCGCTGGAGGAGCAACAGCAGTAGCTGCGTTGTGAGCTGGGACTGGCTGCGTCGAGCCGTGTGCGCGCGGTGTGTGCGCCTCGTCGTCTTCCTCTGCGTCATCTTCGTAGTTGCTGCTGCTGGTGTTGTCGCTCGGCTTTTTGGAGCCGTCGTCCAAACACTTTGCCACCTCGAACGAGTCCTTCAACTCCCGCGTGCCGCGCGTCGTCAACCCACGTGATCGCCGCACGCGGGCGGTGTGCGAGCTCCCACGCGCCCGCACCACCTCGCTCTCCGTGTCGACATCCTCCAACAAAAATATCACCTTTCGGCTGTTCAGCATGGACCAATCCTCCGCACTACCCGTCACGGCCGCCTCGAAGTGAAAGGTGTTGTAGAGCTGCTCATTCTTTGTGAAGCGTGAGAGCGGGATTCGCACCAGATGTCGCTTCGTGTGATAGGCCAACGCACGTACAAACGAGCGCTTTCCTGTGCCACGCGGACCGTAAAGGAGAAAGCCCAGCTTACGAGGAAATCCATTAATGGCGTAGCGGCCCTTCTTCTCCGTAAAGTGCTGCAGCTGCACCCGCACTGCCTCGCTCTGTGGAAAGAACACCGTGTCCAAGGTCGGGGCCAGCGGCATCGGTGCAGCCTTCACCAAGATGCGGCCAACAGAGGGGGAGATGCGGTACATGCGGAGGGAGTGGTCGTCGCGGTCGGCGTAGCCGTTCGCAAAGTAAAACGCCACGGCGTTGTCAACAAAGCGGCGCAGCGCGGCATCTGCATTGGCGCCGCCCTGGCTCGAGTCGTCCTTTCGCGCACGAAGATAGAGGTAGCGGTGCGCCTCTGGGCTCTGGTTCTTGATGCGGGTGGTGGTGATCCACGTGCACACCTCCACACCGCCTTCGTGCACCGGTGTCCAGTACGGGTAGATGGGCAGCTTCACAGGTAACAGCAGTTCTACGTGATCGCAAAAGTTCAGCTCCATGTCCGAGTAATACTCCTCCAGCTCGTCGTCCACCGCCTTGGAGTGAAGCAGAAGAAGGTGAATCGTGAAGGCTTTGTTCTTCAGCTCCGCCGCCGTGAGAGGCATGTTGCGCCACAGCTTCTGCGTGATGTACACGATCATCGCCGAGTTCAGGTGGTGCTCTCGCTTGAAGGAGTCTAGGAGCTCCGTGCTGATGAGATCCTTCATGTGCCAATAAACGTAGCCGTTCGTCTCACGTTTGAGGTCCAGGGTGTACCAGAGAACAAGCTGGCGAACGGTAATGAAGGTGAACACGGCGAGAAGCACGGTCACCTCAAAGGGCAAAGGAGAAACATCGCAGACCAGCTCGTAGGTGTACATAGCGAACAGGTGCACACGGGCCTCGAAGCCGTTCATGAAACTCTGAAGGCGGCCGCCGCCGCCGCCCTCTGTCAGCGTCAGCGGAGACGGGCCACGCTGCATTAAAGAAGGCGAGAACATGGGGAACAACAAGCTGGTTTTCAGTTAGATCCAGAAAGGAAATGACGCTCACGCTCCGGGAAAGTACCCTGATACTAAAAAGAGGAGAAACTGCCGTACCTTAAGACGGAGAACAACGGCGAATGCCGCAGTGCGTATTTCCGAGAACGGCCCTCGGAAAAAGAAATTATATGCAAATAGAAAATACAAGAAAGAAGTTAACTACCCAAGCGGCAAAAGCTGGGACGGAATTAAAACCGGTCAGAAGAAGAAAAACGTTCACACACACACACAAAGACAACAGATATACGTGTGTGTGTGTGCGGGTGTGCGGAGCGGTTGCGGTGAAGGAAAACAGTTAAGGAATGTATGTATGCGTTGCTTGTAAAAGAAAACTCTACGAGGTTTTCCTTTTCGGAAAACGGCGTTGTGCTCTGAGGTTCAGTAGCAGTAATATAAGAGAGAGAGAGTCGTGAAGGAAGCACCGAAAGGGACCATGAAAGGAAGGTGGCACGCGCTAAACGACGTGTGACACAGCAACAAAAAAGAACAAAAAAACGCGTCGATTAAACCAAATCACGCACATTATAGCAGAGCCAAACTGCTACGCTAGATCATGAGGAAGTACAAGCCACGGATGTAGATGTGTGGTTCCGTTGCGTTGACAGTACTGGCGAATCACAGCATGCCAACCGCTCCTACGTATTAGTATTATTATTGTTGTATCAGAGGTACTGAAGGCGAAAACGGAACGGATGAGAAACGACGTTTCGTAGCTCCTCCCGACTCTAACAACGACAACAACAAACTTGAACAATTTACATGGAGTGAGCAAGAAGGAGAACTTTGAAAACAAAGAAAAAATGATGGGTATATATATATATATACATGTACTCCTTCCCACGGCTCGGCGTATCGTAGATGAAAAGTGCTCTCCGGCCTTTGCGGGACGCACGGTTAAAACAAAATAATAAACAGAAAAGATAGAGCTAAAGGTTCGAGAAGTTCAAATTGAAACGATAATTTCGTGTCACGGACCATGGAGCAGAAGAAATATATAGAGATATATTCGTCTCGGCACACCGCAACAACACCGCACCGGAAACTCACTTACATCTTCGCAATGGCAAACATCACCATGGAAAACTGCGCGTAGTTGAGCAGTTGAGGGGATGTCGTCCGAACGCCTCCCACTGTGCGATTGCTCTGCCCTAGTGGAGCGTCGCGCATCACATCCAAGAAGGGCTGAAGAAAGCGCTGGACACGTGCGCGGGAGATGGGCACGCCGCAGCAGTCCAACGGACACACAAGCCGCTTCGACGGAGCCGCGTAGCGACGTCGTTTGGTCACCTCCGCTGACCACTCCTCAGACAATACATCCACCAAAGCAGAAGCAGGTAGCAGTCCGTCCCGACGCTTTGCAACAGCACAAAAAGTTTGAAAGAGCAAATACAAGTCATTATCGCTCACCTTTACGCCGACTTCCTTCGCCTTCGTCACGATATGCTGCGGAAGAGGAGCTGCGGGACCTGTTGCGTCGTGCGTGTAGAGCGTGAGTGCGCGCTGCACGACTTCCTGTGTGCGAAGCGCCAGTTGCTGCGACGCGCTCAGGTGGTCCTGCTGCGGAAGCCCGCCGTCAGAGACAAGTGCGTTTTGATTTTGCACGGCGATCAGCGCAGCAGCCTTGGCGGCCCTGCCGCCGTCTTCGGTGAAGCTCAACGTGTTGCACTGCGCTGAGTTCTCGCGCCGTGTCTCGGCGTCGCGGATGAGTTCCAGCATGTCTGTGCACCACGCAGTGAAGGACACCGCGTCGAGCGTGGGCGGTGTTGTCGTGGCGGCGCTGTCTGCTGCTGCTGCTACTTCGCGCACCGCCACCGTCACCTTCCACACGAGACCGCTGTGTCGCATAAACCGCTCAACGGTCTCCATCGCGACCTGGCAGACGAGCAGCAACGCCCGTTTAAAGCGCATCTCTGCGGTGCTCGCCTCTGCCTCGATGCTGTCGTCTTCACCGCCGGTGTTGGACACGTCTGCTTGGGCGAGAAGCTCGACGCAGGGCTGCAACATGTTCACGGGGTCAAGATCAAGAAACACGACGTGGACGCCGTGCACCTCCGCAGCGACAAGGCCCTGCAAAATCCACCGCCGTAGTCTCTCCGCGGCGGGACTCGCGTACACGACGGCGTAGAACGAGTCCGTCGCGTTCTCGTTGGAGGATGATGTCGGCGCATCGTTCGGCAGGAAGGACACAATTTCGTTCTCCGAAATGTGCGTTGCGACGTTGCGACGGGACGGCTGAAACAGAAGTCGCGCACACGGTACGCGCCGAGCCTGCAGGGAGAGCGGTGGATGGGTGCTGTGATCGCCGAGGTCGACCTTTTTGGCACTCAGAGGCGGCGTGCGCGACACAACGGCCTCCGTGGTGAGATCCAGCTCGCCGTCGCGCCACGACTGCAGAGCCGCCTTGGTGCGCTCCACCACGTCCAGCCGGCTGATGAGACGCGCGCCGTCACGGGTGTACTGATAACTCCAAGGGCCGCTGCTGTTCGTCTCCCCACTTCCGCGACGGGGCACTTTATCTCCTGCAGCAGCGGTGTCGTTTGCGTTTTCGGCTGCCGCATCGTGTGTCTTTCCGTCGGCGTACTGGCCATCTTCATCGTCGCCCCACGCTGCATTTTCGGTGGTAGCGGCGCCGTCGATTTCGAGTGGAGAAAAGCGCTCCAACACACGCGCAAAGAGCGTGCACAGCTCTGACAGTGATGATGTCCTCCGCACCTCCGCAGCAACCGGCTCCGGGAGGGGGTAGGACGTCGATGACTCGCGCAGCGGCACCGCGGAATCGATTCCGGCGGCTTCTCCGCACGATGCGCGCACTGCCGTGCTGCGCGTGTACCACTCCCGTCGGTACTGACTGACCCGTTGCAGCTCACCGTAGTACGTTGCGGAGGAGACGAGGACGGAGACGAGCTTGTACTCGGGTGCCTCCGCGACGTTAAATGCGGCGACGGAAGTGGCGGCTGAGTTACTGCTGTGGGGGTTGACGTTGCGGTAGACGAGTCGAAAAAGCGCCTGGGGATGCTGCTGCGGTTGCGCGTGCGCATTTTCCTCCTGCCCTTTATTCCCTACATCCCCGGGCAGGCGATACACCACGAACGTGTGCTCCGCCAGAAAGGGGTGGTGCGCCACCGCGCTGGCCGTATCGAGCGAGCGGCTAAACAGGTGCTTGTACGAGGCGGCGAGGCACGCGCCAGAGTCACCGCAGCACGGTGGCACCGCCACGATCACCAGTCGCGTCCCTCCGTGTACCACGACGCCGTACTGAAGAAGTTGCAGCTGCCGCGCAGTCAGGTTCTTGCGCCGCAGCGGGAATCCGTCGTTGATGAGGTGCAGCGTGTGGTGACACGGCACGGCGAACTCGTCGATGATGAGGTCGAAGCGCAAGTCGAGAAGGGCAATGTCGTGCAAGACGGCATTGGCGGAGCAGTTGGACGGCACGCCGTTTTCTTCCCGGCCGTCCCATGTAAAGGGACTCAAGGGAGTGAGAGAGCTGTCCACTTTGTCCATTGTCTTTCCTTTCCTTTTCTTATCTGTTTTACTGTTGCCAAATGGGGGAGGGTGTGGGTGGGCAGCGATGTAGAGATGGTGTAAGACGAACACGAGGTATTTCAAAAGTGTCTTTTCCTTCCTTCTCGTGTAGACGCGCTTTTCGGTGGCTGCTGCTTTGTTTGGAGCGACTCAACGGTATTGAGAAGGCGGCACGAGAGAAGCACGTATTTGCCTTCAACGGGATAGGTTTATCACAGCGAGCAAGAAGAAGAAGGTCGAGAGCAGAGGACTACCTTCTGTGTAGAGGCAAAGGCAACAACAGGCGGTTCAACAACAAATAAGGGCATACAGGAGCGACACCGCACACACTCGCGTCAAAAAGAAGAAAAAGAAAGGAGTGTTAGCGCGGCGTACATCAACCTAATTAACTAATTGCATATTATTATTATTTCTTGCGAGTATGTGTGCAGGGGACAAACGCCACTTCGGCTCGGCGAAAGAAGTATAACAGGTTCAACAACAACAGAGAAAGAAAAAATGGGTAGAGGTAATACAGCACAGTCACAAAAGCAGAGGCTTCCCGCAAATACTCAAAAATAAAAAAGCAGCAAACTCACGACTAGACAAAGAAGTCCGAATTGAACAACTGGCCAGAAGATGGATTTTATTCTAGCTTCGTTGAAGAGCGGCAGGTTTCGCCGACAGCTTCAAGTTAAGGGCGAGACAACTAACAACGAAAACTGTTCTTCCTTTTTGGGGAAGAGGAAGGGAAGCAGGTAGAAGGGAAGGAGCATCGCTCCTCTACGTCACGCTAGTCGTAAAGATGTCATAGGCTGCTTTGTAGAATATGTCAACGTTGCGGTCAATCAGAACGCGATTCTCCAGGTCGGTTTGCTTCATCATCAGCACCAAGGTCAGCGAGCTTGGCAGCTCGCGCAGGTAGATGCAGTCCTCATTGCTCAGATGAATCACGGCATTTGCACCACGATACAGCGGGGCATCATCGGCCGCACCGCCGTTCCCCTCAGCACCACTCGAATTCGCGCCCGAGGACGACGTTGCGAGGGCGTGCGCAGCGTCACCCTGGCCGTCCCGCAGTGGAATGTTGTTATGGCTGTTAGTATTGTTGCCGTTGTTGCCCTCTCCGCGTCGGGCGTAGATGCGGCTCATCTTGACCACCACCTCAATCGCATCGCTGCACAGGTCGTAGGTGCGCGACTTCAGTCGATTTCGTTCATCCACCGCCACGTAGATCTTCGAATAGCTGAGAAACAGGTACGACAGATCGATGTTGCTGTTCGAGTTGAGCATCTGCAGCAGCTCCGTGATGTACGGCGTCTTCGACTTGATCAGTTTTTGCACCACGAGGGAGAAGGCCTGGAAGACAGAGTGGTCGTAGATGGAGGTGAGGTTGAAGTTCAAGCGGAGCGGCTGCAAGTTCTCCAGGCGTTGCTTCGCCTCCTCCTCCACGCGCCGCTGCAGACTCGCCAGTAGATCCGCCTGGTGGTCCTCGCTGAGGGCGTCCACTTTGTGAACGAACACCTCCACGCACAGCTCCGGGTTGTAGCGGTAGGCCGCGCTGATCGTGTCGAGCAGCCGCGCGCGGGCGTCGTCGATCAGTTCACGGCAATCCAGCACGTACACAATCGCCCCACAGTTTTCGAGCAGCTGGTTCACGTCGTATCGGTTGGCGTTGTTCGGGTCAAAGGGGTCGTTTTGACCGGGGAAGTCCCACACCTCGAAGTTGACGAAGTCGTTCGAGTGCACGGTGCTCTTCTCCGGTTGCACCGTCGTGGCGAGGGAGGCGGAGTCGTGCGGCTGCATGCCTTCAAACACGACCTTCTGGATGCTGCTCTTGCCAGACTTGCGCAGACCCATGAGCAGCACCTTCTGGAGCGCCAGCATGTCGGTTGACATAATGGTGGTGCGGAGAGAAGGTTATAAAATGTGTTGGCGGAGGAAAAAAAGAATCGCTCATCGACAACGACTGCTGCGTTGTGAAAGAATTGCAAAAAGAGCATAACAGCCGCAAAGTACGGTAAAAAGGAAAGGAAAGAAAGGTCAGCGGAGAGGAAACTGGCTACTCTTTGGGGACATTTCAAAATGAAAGATCTACCTGATCTTACATGTACATTCATGGGGACCTTGAAGCGCTGTCGTCTTCGAGGGCTCCAGAAGGAACATCAATAAATAAAGAAAAAGGCGGAGTTCATCGCACGCTGCATCTTCACTCACGCTTGGCCCCAAACCGCTTTATAAATAATAAGTCAAGACACAAATTAGAGTTCTCGCAGCGGTGAAAGAGCATTAGCACACACACACACACACGTATGCTCTTCTTCATGGCTACAATTTTGTTCTTCCTTAAACGCTGTAGAAGGGCATGAAAGAGAGTTGCGCACATACAAAAAAAACGGACCACAACTCGACACGCCGCATTAACGAAAACAAATCGCAAATCCAGCTTCTTCTACCTCAACCAAAGAAGACCAAGGCGCACACACACACACAACAAAAAGAGGCAAAAAAAAAAGGAGAGCGCCGGCCTGGGAATTGAACCGGCCACACTACAGTCGCTCCAGGACCGCCTGGAGCTGCGCGGTCTTGGCCTGGACGATTTGGCTCAGCAAGGGCCGACGCAGGTCGCGAACCTCCCGTGCGAGACTGCGCAGCGTGTGCAGCAGCCGCTCCGTCGCGTGCCGAATCGTCTGCGTCACGGCCGACGTGTAAAAGCCGCCTGGTGCGTAGGAGGCGTTGTCGAGGAGGTCGTCCACACTCAGCACGTAGGCGTTCAGCGCCAGCTGCACCGTTTCAAGGTGGATTGTATGCTGCTCCGCGACGTCCTCTGCCGCGCCGTCCGCCGTGTAGAGCTCATCAACATCCGTCACGGTCTCACCATCGCCGAGTGGGCCGCGGCTGGGCGAACGGCCGACGCTCGACTCTCGAGACGGCACGCTGCCGGTGCTGATGCGGCTCACGTCCGGGGACCGCTCCAGCCCTCCGGTGGTGGCCGCGCTCGCCGTGATGCGACGCAGCAGCTGCAGCTCCCGCACGGTGAACTGGCGCAGCAGGTCCAGCGAGAAGATGAGGGACTGCGCCGTGACGCCACCCCGCTCCGCTGTAGCGCCACCGCGGATGGAGATCAAGGCTGGATCGCGCAGCAGCTCGGGCGAGAAGACAAAGGCAGCGTGCGAGACACCGTCACGCGGCAGGGCGTAGTACGGCTGCTTCAGCAGTACGACGAGCGCGTTGCGCAGGGCGTGGGCTTGCGCCGCGACGATGCGGTGCCCCTCACTGGTGGAGGCGTCAGGTGTCGGCAGCGACGCCACACAGCGCTGCTGCAGGCGCGGTTGCTGCAGGAACAAAAAGCCAGCCTGCACGCTGGTCAGCAAGCTAGGGAGCAACACGTCCTGTAAGGCCAACGCCGCCGCGAGCCGCGTCGCCACATCCACCTCCTCCAACTCCCACACCAGCAGCGCCTGCCGATCTGCGCCGTGGGCACCGGGGAACGCACCGACGGCGCTGGCAAAGCGCGGGATGCTCTCCAATGCTGACTTGAGGGATGGCAGCCAGCCGGAGGCTCTGGCATCGAAGGGGCCACGCAGCGATACGACGACACACCACAGCGACACCACCGCATACCAGCACACATGCAAGCCGAGTCGCCGATGGCACTGCGCCGCGTGGTCGTAGACGGCGGAGAGCGCAAACTGGCCCAGCGCTCGTGTAAAGCCCAAGAGGGTGTCCTCCGAGATAAATCCAAGCACCGCCACTCGCTTCCCAGCGGAGGCAAGAATGCAGCACACACATTCTAGAACACCAGCGAAGCGGTACGCCTTTGCACACGCCGGCTGCGTCGGCTGAATGAACCGCGAGAGCAGCGAGGCGTACTGCAGTAGGGTGGAGAGCAGGCGTGCCACCAGCACAGTGTCGACGCTACTAGAGTCGGAGCGCTGGCGGCCGAAGTAGCGCGTGCAGCCCTCCACCGCTGTGTCAAACACGTGAAATGCCTCTTCTTCCCTGTCCTTTTCGATCGGTGCAACAAGCTGATCGTGCAGCATGGCTTGCACGTCGCGCATTAGTTCCTCCACGGCTGCCTGCTCCGGCAAGCTGTTCAAGGGGAACGCCGTAACGATGGGTACTGCATCCACGAACAAAAACCGGTGTTTGTGGTTCACCTTCACAAAGGCGGCGAGCTGCAGCATCGCACGCTGGATAGATGGCGCCACCTCCAACTCCATCATATCGCTGCCGAGAGTGCCTTCCAGAACACCGGTGGCAGCCCTGGCGAGGCGCAGCGCGTGCTTTAGATACCGTGTCAGCAGGGGGGCCAGCAACGGGGAGTTGGCCCGACACGCCACCACGGAGTTGAGGGACGCCTCGAACAGCGACAGCGTGCGCTTGCTGAAGAGCCCCGCAACGTTCGTGTCCACGACGCTGAACCACAACAGCTGCTCCACCGCCGCCGCCACGTCCGCCGCGCTGTCGAGGAGGGTGGCGAGGGCGTTGAGGCGGTGGTCGTCACCGGTGCCGCGGAAGAAGCGCGACTCGGCCGGACCCACCGGGACGAGACGATGGTAGGGCAGCAAGCTCGCGAGCTGGCCGGTGGATAACGAAAAGAGCGGGAACGCGGCTTTGCTGGTGTGCAGGCTGCTGACGCGAGATGCGGCAGTGGTGAGCGCCGTCGAGGTAGTGTGGCGAACAAGAGCAGTGCTCTCCGCACCGAATGTGCTCTCCACACGGGTTGCGGCGCCGTGCAACAGCCCGGAGCGCCTTGGCAGCACGACACTCGCGCTCAAGCCCTCGCCGTAGTCGCTCCTGTTGTCGTCGTGACGCGCCAGCCACTCAAACACGTCTTCGTAGTCCACCTCGCGACTCTCCCGCTCGTACGCGGTTCGGCACTCATCCATGATGACCCGCGCGTGTCGGAGCAGTTGATCGATCGTGTCCGTGTAGTTGGCGAGCACCTTGCAGCGCACGGCGACGGCGGGCGACGCACCGGAGAGAGTGGTGATGGGTGGGATGGGTGGAGAGAGCGGAAGAACATTGGGCCGGCGCAGTGGCGCGCGAGCGTCAGCGGTGGTGAAGGCTCCTGCGCCTTCATTACCGTTGTCGCTGCTGTGTGCGCCGCCGCTTTCCGCCGCCTTTTTCGCTTTTGCCAGCTGTCCGGCGATGGAAGCGTTGATGTAGGTAATACAGGCCACCGCTAGCATCGTCACCTCCCACACACCACCACACGGGCTTGACGTCGCTGCTGCTGCTGTTGCAGCCGAGGCAGTTGTGGTGCTGTCAGCGTCCCTTCTACTCTTCTTCGCGCCGCCTTCTTTCAGCAGCAGCGCTGCCACCTCGTCCACATCGAGCATGTTGGACAGCCCCGTGTAGCGCAGCACCTGCAGCGCAAGTGCTTTCTCGTGTAACGGCGTGTCCTTGGTGCGGATCGTGGCAGCGAGCAGCTTCGCAAACGGTAGATTCTCCGGCTGTGCGTCCGCCGCCGTGGCGGCATCATTGTCGCTCGCGGTTTCACCATTCGGGGAGTCCTTGTCTTTCCCGCTTCCACCTTCGGTTTGATCCTCCTCGTCGCCATCGGTTTGTTTTGGGGGCCCAAAGAGCAGCACAAAGAGTGCCGGACACCACCGCACCATCGCCAGCCACACCTCCAACCGCAACGAGTTCGACACGCTGCCCACGTTGTCCCCCTTCTGCACCGTCAGCAGCGCTGCACGAAACTTAGCGACGTCCGCGTTGGGCAGCGTCGATCGCAAGGCTTGAAAGGCTTGCTGCGCGTTTTGTTGCTCAGCACACGCCTGCATGGCGGCCACGAGAAGCTCCGCCATTTCCCGATGAGCGGGCTGGAACGCTGTGTCACACAGCACGGTGAAGCACACCGCCACAGCGCTGCGCGGGCGCCGACCCGCCACCACCGCCGGGTCCGCCTCTTCGCTGGAAAACGGCACCGGAAACGTCGCGGCAGGCAGCATAGCAGGCGCACGGTATAGCGAGGCGGTTTTATACAACAGCCACGCCGCGACATTGGCGGACTTCCATGTGGATCGGCCGCCGGCCATCCAGCACCCGTCACGATGGGCCTGCAGGAGGGTATCGAGGGCCTCGCCGAGGCGGCTGAAGAGCTGCGGCAGCTGCGGCACCGTCACGGCTGCGAAAAGCGCACTTTCACTCGTGGCCACTTCTCGCAGGTCAAACACGGCGTTGACGACAACGGTGGCGACGGCGGCACCACCCACCACACAGCGGAACGCCCCAGCCGGCATCTCCGCTGCGGCAACGAGTGCGTGCCCCATCTCGGCCGCCCCAATGTCTTCGTTGCAGTTGCAGAGGTACTTGTAAAGCTCTACGCTCTCGCTGAGGTCCGCCTGCGCATACTCGGCATCGCCGCACAGCGTGGTCCAGTTGGTCGGGCTCACCAGCCGCGCGAGTACCACGCGCAGCGACTCTACCGCGGAACCGTAGCGGTACAGCAATGCATATGCGGTCCGCTTCATTTGAAAGGAGGCCGTTGATCCATGCATGATGGTCGTCACAACATAGCTCACCGTGTGCACGAGGTTCCGGCAGCCGGTTTGCACCTCGAGCCGCTGGATGGAGTGCGGAAACTCGCACATGAAGGCGGAAAGGAGACTCACTGTAGCCTCGCAGAACAGGCGTCGCTGTCTCTCTGTGCGGCTTGTGTGATCGTAGCTGACGCCGACCGCCAAGGAAAGGTTTGCACGGAGGAGATCAACACACAAGGAAAAGAGTGATGCGTTCGCATTCGTCAACGGTGCTGCGGAAGCTGCTACTCCCCTCTCAGGTTCTTCCTCTACGTCTGTGATGGTACGTGTGCAGTTGGAAAGCGCGAAGAACAGCGGTAGCTCCTCAAACGAGTTCAGCAGCGGTGGCAGCGCCGACGTCACATACGCTAGCAGTGAAAGGTAGAAGAGAAAGTTGCGGGGAGACCTCGGGTCCGCTTCGCACCTCAGCAAATAGGCAGTGGGTTCCTCTTTCCGCTCGCTGCTGTTATCCTCGCCTTGAACTTCAACGTCGTCTGCAAAGCTGGGTACCGTGGCCAGCCATTGACCACTGTCAGCACGGCCCTGCCGGTTCGACGCGCTTGCCGCATGCTCCTCTCCCTGCTGCGCAACGCTGCTAATGGCGCCGTCCACTAACGATTCTATCGACGGCCTATAAATCCGCTGCCCGGCAGTGCTCATGCTCCGTCGAGGTGCCTGCGCCAACGCAGTGGAAGCACCAGACACGGTCATCGGCTCCGCTGCCATTCCTGTCGATCCTTCCGTGTTGCCGCTGCTGCCCCGTGGCTCTGGGCAGGAGGATCGCGTCTTCTCGTGAGCCGCGGGGTAACGCAGGAGTGCGCGATGCAAAAAGTTTACGAGGTTCACGTAGCTCGCCGGGTAGGTCTCCCAGGTACCCCCGTACACACCGACGGCGCGGCACATGTGAACCAGCGCATCTGCCGTGCAGTAGCACCACGCCACTGCCGACATGATCGACAACAGTCCGTGCACCGCGCTGCCAAACTTCGCCATGACCACACCGAGGACGACAGAGGTGGGTCCGTCAGCGCAGTAGGCTACCTGGACGTCTGCGTCGTACAGGGTAGCCTGACGCACCACGTCGAGAGCCCTGCACTGCCACTCTGGAGACATCGTAGGGCAGGCAGAGGGCAGGGCGGCGACAAACGCCATGTGCGCCACGTTCGCCCGCGTCACGGCCCCTCCATTTTCTAAATCGCGCAGGGCAGACTCCACCGCTTCCTCGGGCAGGTGTGGGGCGCAGTGGATGAGGAAGGCGGTGAGAGAGGCAACGCTGCGGCGGAGAAATGCGGGTGGCGCAACGGCGTCCGTCAGCGCAGCACCCATTTCCTGGTTGAGCGCGTAAAGCTTTGAAAGAGACGTGGGGGCGGCAAACGCGGAGGCAGAAGGAGCAGAGGATGACGACGACGGTACTGCCGAAGCTTCGATGCTGCTGTCACGACCGGTGCTCTTACCAGCAGACGCTGCGTCTTTCGGTGCCACGCCGCTGTGGCACGCCAGCAAAACCAACACATCGCAGAACAGCGCTAATGCCGGAAAGGCAGCGCATTTCGCATCGTTAGACGTCGCAACGGACTGTCCAGCGCACCGTCGCCACAGTTCCTCCATGTTCCGAGCAGCGTATGTGACAAAATCGCTCTCTTTCAACAGGCACAGCAACTTTGCGTAGTTGCCCGACTTCCCGAGCGCGGCTGGTGAGCGCTGAAATACGAGACTCAGCATGCTCAACACCTTCGTGAGCGACGCCAGGGCTTCATCGGAGGCGGTGGAGGAAGAAGTGGCTGTCGTAGACCTCGATGCAGACTCACTCGCGGTAGATTTCCTAGACTTAGACTTCCCCTCCGCACTCGAGTGCACTTTAACGTTCGAGTTGAACCGAACTTCTAAGAGTTCGGGGAACGGGAGGCCACTGCTGCCGCTGTTGGAAGCAGACTCGCGAAACAGGCTGAGTGGGGCAGAGCGCAGCGTGTGGATCACATAGTCCTCCTCCTCCGCCACGATAAATGCTTCTTCGTTGGAGTTGCGCAGCAGTCGCTCAGGTTGAAGGGCGACGGCGGAGAGTGGTGGCGACAGCTCACGGGCGTTAAAGAGTTCTGTGAGTAACGTCAACGTGCTTGTCTTCTCGTGGTTATCGTTGACAACGTGGCTGCCTGACCCCGACGTCGCTGCTGTCGCTCGGGTAACACTTTTGCCTACAAGCATTATGAAGGACGCGTTGAGAAACCGCTGTTACAAAAGAATAATAGTAATAAACCTCTCTATACGCTTGATTTCTCCGAGAAACTGCTGAACAGCGTGTAAAAGACGCGGTGATAGAATCAACGAGGAGTGGATTTAGTAAAAGAAAAAGACGATGAAGAGTGCGGTGGCGCGTAGGCGATGGGCAGGAAAAGCCTCGGAGAAGAAGCTCATTTGTGAGAAGCGATACCCCTCATATCTCTGCTTAGGTCTTTTTTTGTATTTGATCAGCAATCAGCAAAAGATAACAACAGAGCGCAAGGGAATCACATTTGCATTGCGTTTCGGTTGCTTCGAATAGATCACGAAAAACGATGTTAACCCTGAACCAATAGGCCATTTCAACAAACATCCGTCAATGCGCTCTGCTTTAGCAAGATCACGTACAAAAGGCGAACACCAAAAGCTCCTGCTTTAGCGACGGAACGCTCTTTGACTTCTTCACAAAAACAACCAAAATAGCCCAATCATGCCACCCAAGCTTTTGTTCTCTATATGATCTAGTCCTCAAAGGGGGGTCATTTTAATTAGTTAATAAAAAAAAACTACGCTCTCTTCCCTTCGCTCGCCCTTTGACCCCACGTTAAGCGTTTTTCTTTGGCCCGATCGTCATGATGGAGATGTTCAAATAACGCGCAATCTGGCCAAATACGGAGAGGATCATGTGGGTGTACTGCAGCGCCGCGCACCCCACCAGTCCCACCAAGGCCCAGCCCAACGTCGTCTCCACGGTGGCGCGGGCAACAACAGCGTCGCCGAGGTAGTGTGCCGCGGAGGCCATCATTAGCGTGCCCGTGTACAACACATAGTACAGGTGTACCGACTTGTACGGCATCACACAGAGGCGGGCTATGGTCAAGCGAGTAACGGTGATAGAGAGCAGGAGGCCGTAGCTGACCTCCAGGGCGAAAGGAAACCTGGCCGGCACGGCGGGGTAGAGCACAAAGATGTGCAGCACGAGTCCCGAGACGAAGGCGATGGGCAGCGCGGCTAAGAAAGGGACTAGTTTAGAGGAATGCACCGACGGTCGCACCACGACGTGGGCGATGTTGACGAGCACGGTCGAGGAGCACGAGAGCACAAACACGACAAATATCACCTCGCGCGCCGTCTCGAAGTGCACGGTGCCGTCGCTGTTTGGGAAGAGGAAGGACAGGGCGGCGGGGTACGGGATGTCGTAGGGCCCCACCACGGACATGGACCACAGCGACTCCTTCCAGATGGCGCTTAGGGTAAAAATGAGGCAGTTGACAAGGATGCCCTCCGTGGGACCGCTGACGTAGCCGAGGTCGAAGGTGCCGGTGCTAAATTGCTCCCATATAGCGGTGAAGAGGCCGAGGCAGGTGAGCGCCAGCGGCCAGAAACGAGCGGGGCCGTCAACGTACATGGCCAGCGTCACGTTCACCATCACAAAAGGGGTGAGAAAGGCGTCGCAGCCGTGATCGAAGAGCTCGCCGAGAGGGCTGCCGGCGCCGGTGCGACGAGCCTGCTTGCCATCAATCGCATCCAGAGTCTGATAGGCAAAAAGCGAAAAGGCGGCGTAGTAGAGCGCCCAGCTCGGGAAGTCGCCGTTTTCAAAGAAGTAGTAGTACAGGAGCACCAATGTGGAGGACATGCCGACGAGGAAACCCGTAAAAGTGATCTGGTTTGGGGCCACCGTCATGGGCACGAGACTCACGATGAAGTTCCAGTACGGCTGCAAGATGTAACGGCTCACGATGGAGAAGTCGGCGCCTGAGTACTTGTACTTCTTCAAGTTCGGCAAGTAAGATGGCGCGATGTATTCATTTTCCGCCGGTTTCAAGCTGTGCTTGCTCGCTACCGGTGCAGATGCCATTTCTGTTGATCTTTGAAAATTACGAACACCTGGGGAAATACAACATCAAAAAGAGATGTGATGTCGAATCAAAAAAGGCGAATCAACGGGCTCTCGCATGCCACCACAGACACAGGCGCATACAAACACACACGCACACACATGCAATCCGTGAAAGCTGGATTTAGAGCGCGCAGTGATCTCCTTTTCCAGGGTGTGAATGAACAACAGAGGTGCTGTGACAGGCTGCGACACACACACTTACACAGAGGAAAAAAAACTTATCACAGAAGGAAAATTCGTTTCCTTACCAGCACAGGTGAACGTCAGAAGAACGAGAAAAAAAGAGCAGGAAGTAGCGCCGCCATTCGAAGCGAATACATCAATACATACACGTATGCCGGTTGACACGTAGGCCGCCACGGAGACTACACAAGTCTTTGGATTCGTATTAAAGCGTGAAAGCGAAAAATACTGGGCGACACCTCCGGCTCCTCCCCTTCCCGCCGCCTCTTTCGTTGCGGAGACGTCACCGCTTCCACGCGAGCACACCGCTTTCCTCTCAAGACAGCGTAGCACCGAATTTCTACGTAAATCCTCTTTCAAATAAAGCTTTACCAAGTGTTAAACTGGCAATACATACCCCAAATCGTTGCCGATTTCGTGGCTCCCACGGTGCGCAAATTCACGCCGAGGAAAAAAAAACGTAAAAATAGAAAGTAATAATTTGATGGAGCTCTTCCAAAGCATCAGCACTTAATTGCAAGCAAAACAACCTTTATCAATTCATCACAATAGTAAGACAGAATCACTTAAGCGTTGAAACAATTAAGTATAATTATAAATATGTAAAGGCAGAGAGAGAGAAATATGTACATAAAATATATATAAGAGAAAAAGATTTCCTCCCTGATTTACGCAGTTTTGTCTTCTAACGCTGCAAGTGTGTCTTTCACGAGTTGATTGTAATCGACTTTCTCACCCGGTCGAAGGAGCTGTGTGAACGAGGTGATGAAAGGAACGGATACCGAGAGCAGCGTTTCGATTGAAATCCACTCATTCAGAGGCCGGAGGCAGAGCACCGAGCAATCAACCGCTCTTGAGGTGTCCGCTGCGGAGGCCTCACTCGTGCTGTCCGTCACGAACACAATCTGCAAGTTGTCCGGCGACCCTACGTCGAGCTGCTTCGCCAAGAGGTTGCGGATACGCATGTAACTCTTCGGTGTCAGCTTGGTGCCAACGTCGGTGGGGTCAAAGTAGGCGGTGATGAACGGATTTAGATCACCGTACGGGGTGTGGCGCATAATGAGTTTTTGCGCGGCGACACTCCCTGAGCTGTACAAGGCGATGTGCCGCGAGCCGCCGCGTTGCGCTTCGCAGCCGATGCAGCGGAAAAATTCATTGACATCCGGTAACACCTGCGTCTGGTGCTCGCCTTGCGCGTACACCTCCTCCAAAATGGCTGCCTGCACCGCTTTCACGTGCGTTTCCTTACTCCCCTTCTCCGTCTCCTCTTTGAAGTGGCGACCGAAGAGCTCACGTACGGCGCTGTTGGCGTCCTCATCGGCAAACCCGGCAGCTTTGCTCTTTGAAAAGGCTTCACTCAGCGTCAGCTCCGCGAGCGCGTCCGCCGAGTCGGTGACAGGTGGGTTGACCCGCTTCGCGGATATAAACACCGCGGCTGCCTCGACGTGCTGCACAAAGACCACATCGCTCGGGAAATGCGCCTTGGCGTAGGTGTCGTAGTGCCCTTCTGCCAACGGCATCATCACATTCCGCACAAACGGTAGTGGGGTTGTGGTGCCTTCAATGTCGCAGAGGAAGACGACGACGGGTGCCCCGGCATTGAGGTTGAACACGTTCGGAGTCGGCTCCACCGGCGAACCGCCGTCGGTTGAAAGACAAACACTGCGCTTACGCAGAGAGTCGTTGATATTCGGTGCCGGTATTCTCGTGCCTATCAGTTTTGGTTCAATGACAGACATGAGATGCTCATAGTTATCGTACGGAGGCAAGGTGTTCGTGAGATGCGCCAACTCCGTTTGCGCTTGGAAGCACTTCCACGCTACAACCTGCGGCATAGCTCTTTTGCTATCTTGATCTTATCGCCTTGTTTACTTTACTGAGTTCAACTATTCCACGTTGTTCACGCTTTTCGATTGAGCTACGCAGTGGATGAAAGGTGCGTATGAGTTGCGTGACCGTCAGCACTACCCGAAATTGATTAAATGAAGAAATAAAAGCAAATCTAAGGCGAAAATAGTTAGGAAAATCACGATTTGTTTCGTCTATGACAAAAAAAGCATCAGAGACCAATATATAAAAAATGATTTTTATTTTAAGTAGCAAAGAGAGTGTCACTAAACGTGTGCGTGCGCAATCGTGGTGTGTGTGTGTTACGCAGTCGCGATAGATTCACTCTAGTTGATGTGGGGATTGTGTGTGAGGGGGGAATGCGCGGGTGCGAGTGTGGTTTGCAACAAAAAACACACGGTACGCATGCGCCGCGTGGAATCTTATTTCTCGTTTTCAAAAGGTAAGAATGCAGCATTAGGGTGATAGAAAAAAAAGAAGCAGAGGGAAATTGAAAAAATAATAAAACAAGTTCTCACAACTCTTATGAGCGAAGGCTAAAGTGAGAGGATAAGAAAGCACTCGTCGGGAGGCCTCTTCTCCCCATCAATCTTCAACATGTGAGCACAGGCGCCGCTAACACCTTTCTAGATGTCACTTCTTTTCACAAAACGCACACTCTAGCTTGATCGAGACTTCACGGACATCAGAAACCGTGCCAACTACCAATTATTCCCGGCCAAATAAAAAGCAGTAGATGACGCTGCAGAAATACTCATATATAAATATGATGTCATCGCTATCGTACTGATCGATGCAACGGTGAATCTTCTTTCTTCTTCACCACTTATTCTGCTTTTGCTTTTCTAATGTTGTCCGTCTCCGGACGAAGGAAACGTAGAGCACCAGATATCGTAAGAAAACGTCTATACAAAAAAAAAAGAGAGAAAACGTGAAGGCAAGCGTAGAAACGCGGCCACAGAGGAGAAACAAAAACAAAGAGCGCTAGAAAATAAATGCCGAGGCTTGCAAAAGTAAGTTTGAAAGAAGCCTGAAAAACGTTTATCTCTGACACACGGAGGAAGCCATGACAACATTCAACAGCGGATGCAAAGGCTAGCCTTTAACCCGGCCCGTTTGTAGCACCGAAAGCACCTTCGTAGCGGCACTGTCCTCTAACGTGTTTTATTTCTTTTTTCTTCTGGTGAACGCTCTGAGTTATTTGCCTCTCCGCTGCTGCTATTGCTTTCCCTTCCTCTGCTTGTTGTGCTTCATTTGCCGACAGCGCGAAACAAAATAAAAGAAGTTGGTGTACAATTACATGCATGCACGTTGTATCAAAGAGGAGGCACAAAACGGAATCACCAAAGTGGAGGAAAAAAAAGACGAGAAAACAAAAACAAATATCAAAACAAAAGAGCAGCAACGGAGATGCTGAGAGTTGAAAGGATGGAACTCGCTACAACGGCTGCCTACGTACACAGAGCATCTACTCGCGCAGACACACAAAGACAACAACAACAAAAAATGGTACAGTTGGTTCAACACAATGAACGAAAACAACAAGTAGATCTAAAGTTACACGGGGAAAACGCCCAACGAATCAGAAGAAACAAACAAACAAAAAACGCATCATTGGAGCACACAAAACAACCAACCAAACAATAATAATAAACCCTCACGGGAGGGCATCACAGTTCTTCCCCCTCCCCCCCCCCCCTGCAGACACTGGGCAAACCAGAACAAGACAAACCAAAAGGAGAGAAGGGCTGCGCCTGTTCTTTTTCGCTAACGGCTTTCGCCAGCGCACGAGTCTTCTCAAGAAATGCGAGGGGCACAGGGGAGGGGGGGGGAGGGTAAAGTCGAAGAGCACTTAACATCTACACACTGTTCCCTTTTTCTACCCTGAACACATCAGTACCTTCTTGCCAGTCTTCCCGTTTCGACCAAGTAAAAAAAAGACCGCCGAGCTGCGCAAAAGGAATTCCAGCGACCGCAGGACGTCGCGCTCTACTACCCCTTCTCTGCGGTCTTCGCCTTGGACGCCGCCTTGGACGCTGCCTTCTTCACCGCCTTCTTCACCGCCTTCTTAGCCGGTGCCACGCGCTTCTTCGTGTTCACCTCTTTTATCGCCTTGGCCACCTGCACATCCAGCGGTTTGCGGAGCTCGTACAACTGCGACAGTGCAGAAAAGCGCTTCCTGTAGTTCAACCCCTTCACCACGTTGTAGTTCTCCCGCACGAACTCAGAGAACTCGCTCTTGCGGGACGGCCTCTTGCGCGTCTTCTTCTTGTTCATGCTGGGGTGGCTCTCTGCACGTTTCTGCAGCTCCTTCCGCTGCTGCTGCGAGAGCTCCTTGTACATCTTCGACAGCATACGACCGCGCTTCGCAATCGGCACGCCCTTCAGAGCCGGGTTGCTCTTCTGATCCATGAGGAAAATCGAGAACGGGCTAACGCCGCGGAGAACACGAGCCACACGGAACATTTTTTGCCACGCCTGAGCACGAATCAGAGGATCAAAAAGAACGGTAAAAAGAAAACAGCTCTAAAACGGATACGAAACAACAAGAACAAGAAAGCAAAAACAGAGAGCTGGCGGTAAGATTGGTTTTTCTTTGGCTCTGCTTCAGTTGATGATACCTGCGGAGAAGTTGAAAATCTGAAGCGCCGTATCCAGATGTTTTTCTTCCTTCTATGAGTTGCACTGATGAGAAAAACGAGAAGCAGACAGGTGGGCAAGAATGCAATGGATCTTTGCAGCCAACTTTACTTTTCTTTTTGGGGATATTTTTGATTCAGCAAAAGCGAAGGTTGATTCAGTTCGTAAGGCGCAGCAAATGTTTAAATGCCGTAATACAAGAAGCAGAACAAAAGAAGAGTTGGAAAGGCGATAAGAATGAGTGGGGTGTGCGCAGCGTCGCCACACAAGAGGAGGCACACTCTAACGTACTTCTCAGGTGTTTAAAAACAACACTGTGGAACGTTTTTCTTTTCCAGCATCTTTTCATCACTGTCTCCATTTTTATCATCGTGTGGAAGGCTTGTATAGTGATGCAGTAGGGCATTGCATTGAGGGGGAAAAAGCAAAGCAGCGAGCTGTCAGATGCGCAGAAACCAGACCGCCGGGCTGCCGCATCTTCTTCTGTCTTCACCTTTGTTAATTGCTTTTGATAGGACACGTCAAATAGACACAAAAATCAAACAGTGAAGCGACAAACTGTCGGTCGTGACAGTACGGTGAACGTAATAAACAAATAAGGAAAATACAGTTGGAAGTCGGGGGGAGGGGTAAGCGCAACGCAGAGCCCAACCAGAACCAAAACAAAAAAAATGGTAGAAGAGGGGAAGATGCGTTACCCCCAAACCCGAATCCAAAAAGAAAACGTATAAAATCTGAAATACGGAACAAGGTTGAATTTTCACCGTTTGAACGAACACGATTTCGAAAACCGAAACAAAACTAAATTACCGTGCCACGATAAATCCGTATCACAACGTAAACTCAGTCCACGCATCTGGGCCACCATTGGCTCTTATCAAACACCACCACAAGTACAAAAGTGAGAACACAGAAGTAAAAAACGGCTCCTCCGCGACCAACAAAAGTTGGATGCGTTCTTCAGGCAGAGTAACCAGGATGCCACTTTTTAAGTCCCTCCTGCACGCGCTGCGCAAGCACCTGCGCATCCAGCATCGCACAGTGAACACTGTTTTCGACACACTCTTCGCTCTTCCGGACCACCTCGTGATACCAACAAGACTCTGGCTCCTTCACACGTCTACTCTTTTGCGCCTCTTTCTGTGCCGTGGTTGCTCCGTTCTGCTGAGGCTCCGCAGCAGCCTGGAAGCACTCCGCCGCGACGGCCTCCAACACGCTCACGTCGAAGCACCGAATATCCTGCGCGTCCGGGATCCACTCCTGCGGGTCTGCCCGCATCTTCTCCATCAGCTTCGACACGTCACAGTAGCGGTGATGCTGCCAGATGGCCGCAGCGTACAGCCAGCGGATCGCCTGCAGGTCCATCAGCGTCGGGCTGTCCGGATCGCCTTTGTTGATGAGCACCACGCGCGGGTTGCGCACAAACGCGGCGTCGACTTGCCGCGCCTTGGTGCGATAGTCGTGGGTCAGAAAAGTAGCGTTGCGATACGGGATGAGGTGCGTGTCGATGCAGGTGTGCAACACGGTGTCTTCTTCCTCTATGGGAATGCGACCCGGGTGGCAGAAGAAGTGCACAATGCTGAGAGGCCTCGACCGCGCAGTCTTCTCACCGTTTGCGGGCACGGTCGCCGCGTCCGACGCCGCGACAGCACGGACACGGCGCCTGCGAGGAGGTCGAATCGGCACAAAGGCGTACTCTGCAGGCAGGGGCACACTGTTCGCCGTCACCGCGAACGCCTCCACGTCCACGGCGACAAACTGCACCTGAGACCACCCGCCAGCCGCTTCAATGCACGCGAGAAGACGCTCTTTGCTGCGCATCAGCCTTGCTGCATTGCGAGTCCACAACTTGCGTGGCGAGGCCGCTGGTGCCCGCTGCACGCCATCACGCGAGCCGGAGCTCTCCGGTCTGGTAAAGAGCGGTACGTCGGCCGGCGTGGGTGAGCGCCAGCTCGGGTACAGTTCTTTCAGCTTCGCCACCACCTCTGGAGCGGTGGAGATGGGCAGCGCCCATCCAGACGGCTCGGTATGCTTGTACCCTGGCACCACATCCAGTCCCTCCTCGCCGATGCTGGGCATCCCACGAAAGAGGTCGGCGTGTGCGGTGCGGAGGTGCGCACGGTTGAGCTCCTTGGCCACTGGAATCAAAATGCACGTGGCAAAATTGTTGCAGAGGAAGCGTGACGCCGGCGACGGTTTGCCATCAGCGGGGGAGAGGATGTACACGCCAGAGGGCTGAAGGCCGAATTTCGTACATGTGGCGGCATCGCTTGCGTTGGATGACGTATCTTCCTTGTCGCCAACAGGCGGCGTTGTGGCTGCCACCGTAGCCGTACCCTGGTTTCCCTCCGTTTTGGAGACCACCGCATCGTTTCCCGCAGCCGCGTTCAATAAAGCGGACACAACGCGGTAGCAGTCAGGACCCGACTTGGTGTCCCATCGATCAGTGCCCGTCGTGTCACTCGGCAGCAGGTGAGGAAAGTTTGTTTTAAAAAAACCGTCCTCCGCCTCGAAGAGCCACGCGTAGGTTTGAAAAGCAACGCCCAGCCTCAGGTCACGCTCCTCGATCAGCTTCTCGGCCAACTCAGCAGCGTTCAGTTCATCGCTGCTGTCGAGCGAGGCGTACTCGTCGTAGTTCTCGAGATCACTTTCGCTGTACATTATGAGGAGTGTGTCGATAATAGAAATTGATTTTACTAGCTACTTACTTTTTTAATAGTTTGCGTTGTTTTTACAAAGAAAGGAAAAAGAACGAGCAAGCCCTAAGATGCAGACGGAGCAGAAGTGTAGCGCGTTGGACTTCACAGAGGGGAGAGGATCCTCATTCTCTTTCCTTGAGGACTTTACTAAATACGCTCAGTTTAACGAGAAGACCTCCGGACGTGCCTTCACTAGTCGTATTACATTTTTGGCGCTTCGAGTTTTGTTTCAGGGTCGTAGTCGAGGGCATTGACAACGCAAAGCAACCGCAAGAAATGGTTCAGTGAAGTTCGAGCTCGTGGGCGTTGCGACGGCAAACCGTGGTATCATGTTCCTCTCCTTTTGAGGGGTCCCTTAAAGACATGTGTAGCATCTTGGATCTTGGTGTGGTTCGCTGACTACAACGGCTTCGTGTCACCGGTACCTAACCGGAAGGCACTGTCTACAGCAAAAAGACAGTGTACGAGCTGCATCGTACGGAGAGCAAAAACAGACAGAAGAAGATCACCCAAGTCTCCAGGGTGCAAGGGAGGAACAAATCATTTAACGATCACGAAAGAAGGGGAGAGGGAGGCGGGGGGGGGGGGAGCACATGTGCAATGCAAATTATATTGAGCCGATGTCCTTTTTTTTTTCACATCACGCTGTTGTCTCCTCAGTCCCTTCCAGCATCTTCGCAACGTTGTCAAACCGAAGAGCCTGCCCACGAAGCACCTCCATCGTCTCCTCAAGTGCCGACACCTTCGCCCGCTCCTTGTCTCGATCTGCCTTGCTCGTTGCAGCACGGCGTCGCAGCATCTCCAAGTCACTCTCCAGCGCCTTCAACGCGCGAATGTTGCGATCTTTGCTTGACGCCGCTGCCTCATACACCACCTTAGCGGCGCTCAGCTGTGATTGAATCTCGTTAAAGCGCGCAAGGTAGTCGTCGACCTTCGCCTTCAGCGCCTCTTGCTCTTTTTTGGCCTTGGCGAGTTCGTCCGTCTCGCTCGCCAGCAGCACCCGCAGCTCCGGTGCACGGCGAACGTTTTCCTCCGTCTTCTCCATCAATCCCGCCGTCTCTAGCTCGCGCTTTGCCACCAGTTCCTCAAACTTTTCCTTGCCAGAGTTGGAATGCGAGTCGTAGATCTCTTGCTGTCGAAGAAGGAGTTCCTTACGCGACGTCGCCCGCTGCTCGCGCTGCGCCAGGTCCTTCGACAGATCGTCCGCTTCTGCAATTTTCTTCTTCAGTTCCTCCGACATTTGCTTGCGCTGCTCCACGTCCCGCTCCTGCACCGCCTTGTACTCCGCTTCCGACTCTTCGTTCATCTTTTCAAGGGTGACTTGCACGCTCTTCACCTTGGCGAGCTTCTCCTTTTGCGCTTCTAGCTCCTTCTGCAGTTCAGCCTCCTGGCGCACCTTGTTGTCTAGTTCGTGCTGCTTGCTTTCAAGCTCCAGCTCGCGGTCACGGAGCCGCAGGAGTTGCTTGACCAGGCGCGTAGACAACGCAGACATTCCTCTGATGATCTGTATGTGATACTGATTATTATTGCGGTGCGTGTTGGTGTACGCGTGCGACGTAGCCTAATTCGGCAAAGCAGAAAGGAAGTTGGGATTTTGTTTGTATGTGCGTGTTTTGATTGGGTTAGGATTAATAATAATCATCATCATCAAATAACAATGATAGTGACCAACTGCTGCTCAACACTCGTGAAGACACACACACACACACACGCCACAGCTCCGCGGAATAAAGAGTACCGGTGAATCGATCAACTACGTCGTGCAAACAGCAACGTACTTCCGCCAGACCGGGACGGCGTTATGCGTCTAAAGGACAGGAAAAGGAAAAAAAAGATACACAAGCAGAAGCAGACAACACGCGGCGGTGCTGTTGATGTGAAGGGGAAACAAAAATTCTGCGTTGCAGAGGGTGATCAGCAAATGAAAACGTAGGTCGGGAAAGAAAGATGAGGGGGGGAACAAGAAGGAGCGACGGTGAGAGAAATAGTTGAGCTGTAGGCGGAAAAAGACAGTTTCTTTTCCGGGGGAGAGAAAGGAGCCGCGCGATGACCAGTTCTCACGCCGTTCGGGTAAAAGGTGCTGCTCGTGCTGTTGTACTCGAGAGGATTCGCGGCAATAAAACGTTAGCACCAATAAACCGGTTTTTGTCCCACCTGCAGTGCACCAGAGCTTGCCTTCCTTCCACTCCTTTTCGCTCAATTCTAAAAAAAAGGGGGGAGAAGGAAAAGGGCCGTCGAAGCGACGTGTCAAAAGATGTTGTAGTTCACTTGTGACATGTCAGACACATGGAATGCACTCACGAAGTGAGCAAAATCATTAAACAGAGAGATTTGCATTCAAGCGGATGTTGCGAACCTTTTCGTGGCACAGCAGGAGCTAAAAGGCGACAAGGAAAAAAAAAAGAGGAGAGAGGGGGAAAAACAGCCTGCTACGGCTTTGCGGTGTTGTTAAATGCTGCTTTCTTTTTGATCTCTCCCCATCGCGACAGCGGAAGAGAACAAAGGATTTTAAAGAATGATCCCACCCACGTGGAAAGACCCACTCCCCTTTCGAAAAGGGAAAAAGAAACGAAGAAAAACATCAGAAGCCAGTGCGCTGCCTTCACGAAACACCTTTCCCCGCCGTTAGCTCGTTTGGAGTTCGCGAAGATCTTCGGCGACAAATTTCTTGAAGTTGGCACCATCGCGGTTCGAAATTTCCGGTATAGTCAGGAACACGATCTTGCGCGGGTGGGTGGCGTCGAACATGTACAACGTGACGTCGCCGCCGTAGTGCGACATGACGTCCTTCGTCACCTTCTGCAGCATGTTCTCGCACACGCCACATGGGAAAAGCGGGTTGGCTTCCTTCTTGATGTTCATGCCATGCACAAACACCTCGCGCACACCCCAGGTCGGGACACCCAAGGAAGCCAGCTTCCCCATTGCGTTCTGCTCTGAGCAGCGCGAACCGCTTGGGGTGCTCAGCTCGTAGTTCACCGCAATCACCGCCCGACGGGGGCAGTTGCACCACGACCCGCTCGGCACGCCGACGACCGCCGTGTCATCAGGAATGACAGCATCGATGTGCTCCTCAATTGTGTTGTTGGCGTCGCCGCCGTTGCGGTGGCAGTGGCACTCATTCACGTCTACGAAGGTCAGCACGGAGGTCACCACCGGTCGGGTTGGGTCGTGCTTGCGCCAGCTGTTGTGTGCGTGATGTGTACGGAAGTTCAGGATCATACGCGTGACAACGATGAAGAACGAGTCGTCGTCTTCCCTCTTGAGGTCGATGACGTTGAAAGTCTCGTCTAGCTCGTAGCGGGCGCGGATAATGGAGCAGGCGTCCACGACGAACGGGAGGACGTTGAGTTTTGCAAACGCAGGTGCCGTTAGGTTCAGCAGATCGCCGACGCACCGCAGATAGTCCGGCAGCTTCACCGGCTCCTCCACACGGGGAAACGCCAGGAGTGCCTCCCGCAGTGGCATCTTGGTGTCGAGGTCACGAAGCGAGGACAGCGTCAAGAAGACCTCTGCCCACTGCGGCGGAACGCGGATAGCGAGGGAGTCAAAAGCGGCGTTGCCGAGCACCTGCATATCCCCGACCGTCCGCACACCCTCGCCCTCGAGAAACTGATAAAATGAGTCGGCTTCATTTTGAGAGAGAGAGTCTTCGATGACGTACTGGCCGTAGGTGCGCAAGGAGACGGCAGAGGCCTGCTCCTGCCGGTGGCCCACCGTCTTGTCCGCGTGAATGTAAAGACAGCTAATGCCGTTCCGGCACGATGTGTTAAAGCGACACATCGTCGGCACCACAGCAGGCAGCACGTTCGCCGCCTTGAGGCCCAAGGCAAGGAAGTAGCCCGCCGTCGGTGCAATTTGGTTCTGCGCCAGTCGCACGTACTGCCCCGCGTGTGCCACCACCAGCGGCAATCGTGGTAACGTGTCCAGCCGCATGCGCCACGCACCAGGTCGAAAGTGAATGCGCTCACACGAGCAGTTCGTCTTGGCGCATCCGAGGAAGCACCGATGCACCTTCTTTGGTGAGACGTAGAAACGGATCGGCGGCGGCTGGACGTCGCGTTTGTGGAAGAGGTAAAAAGAGACGCTGTTGACGTGCGAGGAGGTGACGGCGGCAGGAGTCGCCCTTCCAGCAGCCTGGGCAACGGAGGAGCCGAGGCTGGGGCTCAGCACCTCCGAGGTACCGCGAACAATCTCCTTTGGCGTGCCCCGGCTGTTGACGAGCGGTGACCTCTCCACATTCGCCGGTGAAAGCATCGTGGCGCCGGGGTGCAGCAGCGGTGTCTGGCACTCAATCGTGCTGGACTCCGGAGTGGAAGGGAAGTCGGTGTCGCGTTGTTTGTGGACGGCGGCGTAGCTGTTGAGGGGACGTAAGGAAGTCGACTCGTCCTGGCGGGGGTGCGATGCCTGGTCAGAGGTGAAAGCGAGCACAACGTAGGACTGCGCCTGCTGTGCCTCCTTCAACGGGAGATACCCCTTATAAAAAGGGATCGAGTTGAAGGTCTGCGTCGCTATTTCGGACATTATGAACAACGGAAACAAATAAATAAAAACACGTAAAATACAGAAAGAAGTTGTGTAAAGGGGGAAAAAAAGAGGTGACAAAAAAAACTACCAGAAGCGCACAGCAGATACGTCGTCCTTTAGGTGGAGTCTCACACGATGTGGGGTTTCCGGGGCTTCTTGTCAACCCAGCGAGAAACAAGAGGGAGAAGAAAGAGCGTAGAAGAGATCTGAGCAGACGCAAACGGAGAAAGACAGTTACTTTCGTTTCCTCTCTCTACTTTTCACTAATCGACTCATGTGCTCACGAAAGCGAATGCGTGAGGTATTTTACGGGAAGAGAACGCAGAATGATCCTCCGTTTTACTACAGCTATACGAAGTGTGTTGCGCAGGTTCATCAGCGTCACGTGCGAGGTGATACTTTTTTAGGTGTCAACACGGAACTCGTATTTCGCAAAGAGAATTCTTGCCTTGGAATCCGTTGAATATTCGTGGGGTTTTATGTTTCTTTTTCTTAGTGTGTTTTGAGAAGTAGTTTGTGTACACCAAAGCAGCAAAACACAGATCCAACCGTCGAGGGAACCCTGAAAGAAGATGTGTTCCTCGACGCTGTCAGCTGTTGCGGCACAGTATCAATAACAAGCAACGTAAGCGACAAGAAACCAAAACAATAGCCTATTCTCTTACCATCGTTTCTTCTTACTGTCTCCACGCCCTTTCCGTCCGGAACGCTTCTCCGAAGATGTCCGCATCGTAGTCGAACAGCGGATCGAGAGCGAAAGGCTGCACACAGTCATCATGCTCCGCGATCACCTCATGAAGGTCGGCCGCCAGTTCAAAGCGAAGCGCCTCAGCCTTTGTCTTTTCTGCAATGTGCTGCGTGCGTACGCCCTCCACATGGGTATCGTCGCTATCGTGTAGACCTGGAAGCGACACGCTGCTCACATCAGAAAGAGAAGATGAAGAGGATGAAGAGGTTGAAGCAGAGGCACCCCGTCCATTGTCGTGTCCCTCGTCCACCGCTTCAGTACCAATCTCCGCTTGAGGGGCTTCAGCTGCGCGGTGCGCAAAAGCTTTAGAGGCAGTGATTTTGGGCAGCGAATCAGCCCTCTCTCCTTCGCAGTCCACAGCTAAAATTTCGTCCAACGTGAGAGGCGCACAGGATGCGGTGGGCACGATGCGAGAGCTGGTGCACGGAGAAAAAGTTGGTGTTCCCGTACTGTGAACGGCACCCCCACAGGCAGCAGGCGCGACCACCGCAGCAGTTTCCGTGAAAAAATTATCGAAACTGGTCGACACGTCAGTGACGCCGCTGTCAAAGAAGGCGACCAGGTTTCCCGTATGCGTGCCTTCCCCCAGCTCCACCGTGACCAGCACATCCTCCTCCGCCTCAACGCAGCCGGGATTGCCTGCGCAATGTGTGAACACTGTGTCGGCGTAGGAAACGCCGTTGCTTGCATCAACGTACCGTACGGACGTTTCTTTGCCACGCTGCTGTTGCTGCTGCTGCTCAGCGCGTTGACGCTCCCGTTCTCGTTCCTGCAGGCGGCGGCGTACCTCAGCGTAGCTTGCGGCAGGCTTCCTCGCTGGGGTGTTTGACGCTCCACTGGGATCGCTCTTGTTGCCGCCGTCTTCGGAAGGCACCTCACCTTCGAGTTGAGCCAGCGCTTTGACCTTATCCTGCTCCGTTAGTTGTGTGAAAGTTGCGAGCAGCTCCAGCGCATCTTCTTCGCGACTATTCAGAAAAGCCTCGAGGCTGTCCAGAGCGGCATCTTGCGCGAAGGGTGCGGATGCGCTGAGGGAGTCGTGAGGAGAGCACGATGCAAGGGCGGCGTGAACTGTCGGCTCACCACACGTGCGCTGCTTGTGATAGAAGCGTTGCGTTGCGTCTCCCTCAACGTGTGGAGGAGGAGCATCGGACATGCTGTGTTCCTCAGCAACTAAATTTTAAAAATCGCGTCTCCGTAATCGTTCTCTTGCTTGTTGTGCGTGTGCGTGTGCTTATAGGCTACATGGGATGCAACGTGTGGCATTGCGATTTAGAAGATAAGCTTTTTTCGGCACCGTTATTAGATGCACCGCTCCTTTCTGAGTTACCGGCTGCAAAATGAGCCCTTTTCGAGCGTGAACACTTGTGAAAATCAACGACGTGGAGTAACAACAACTGAAAGAAACGAATCAAGAGAAGTACTTCTTTGAGATCCATGTAAGAGTCCATTTATGGATAAAACACTGCTGCAGCACGAATAGTAATAGCTAAACACCCAACTACAGTCGAAACGTCAGTATCCTCTGTATCTGGCGACGTGTGAAACGAGAAGCGCTCCAAACAAGAGTTTTGTGGTGTGTGAGTGTGTGTGTCAGTTTGCGTCAAACACGTTGTCGCTCAATACACGCGTCTACCCTTCCCATTAGTAACATCCGTCGACTTTACCGTTTCGAAGGAGGCCCGTCCACGCAGACGTACAAACGCCGTTTCTGCCTGGACGCACCTCGTTACTGCATACGTCGTCATGTGTTTTTGTTTGTTGAGTTTAATCATATCAGAATTATAGTGGAGAGAAAAAGAAATAAGCTGTTGAAGAGAGAGAGAAGGAAAAGGAAAGATACAAGAAAAGGAAAAAATAAGGAAACGTACGAAACACGAATCGACGTGGAAAACCACGAAAGTAATAAAAAAACAGATATATAAAAGAAAACGAAAGATAAAGGAAATTGTATGTTTTTATTTGTAGATGTGAAGACGCCTGGTAGCATGAAAGCGCGTGAAAGTCCACAATACATGAAGCTGCAGAACCCAGAAAGGACAAAAAAAGAGTTCACTAGAAGCCGGAAATGAACTTGAAAAAGGAAACCAAAAAAAAACGGCAAGCCATACAGAGGATTAAGACAGGATAAGAGAAGGAGAGAGAGAGCATCTGCGCCCCTCCTTCTTACTCTATCACTCTTTGCTGTTGATCGCACGTTCGAGTTTACTACTGCCTGACACCACAACGCCATGCGTGCAAACTCGTGCGCAGTAAATAGTGCTTCTTTTTTTTTTTGACTCTGCATCAAGTCATCCGTGACGGCATAAAAAAAAAGAAGAAATACATGAAGGGTTGCAAGCTCATCCGTAAACTAAAGAAGAATCTTTTCGTCTAACAAGAAAGATTGAAAGAGTTTTTACGGCATTCGTTTATTATTATTATTATTTTTGGAAATGCATGGGTGACGCCGCCGCCCTTGTTAATCGCGAGAAGATATGTGGCGCGCGTTGGCAACTCCCGCCAGAAAAGGTAGCAACAAAATTTTCGAAAAGCAAAAATTGGTCTGCGAGGATGGCTGCAGCATACAGGTGCAAGGGATTCTAAATAAAATGCAGAGAAGGCAGAAGCACGACGAAGAACTCACTTCTAGAGCATATCTCATTCAAAAATAAAAAGAGATGATAGTGGAGGCAAAGGCCACACAGAGTACTCGTCGAGGAAGAAACGCATCATATATATTTGACTGTTGAAGAATCGCACCTATGTATATTTTGTATTTCTTTTGCGAAGAATGAACACACAAAAAAAAAAAAACAGTAAGAAAACCAGAAACGACAGAAGGCTGCGCCGCAGCAGGAAAACACGTCTGTCTGTGAGGCCATTTTGTTTTGCTATTTTTGTTGCTCCTTTTCATGCGCGAGAGAAAGGAAGAGAAAGAAGTAAAAAAAAACCCAATTGAGACCATTGTGGAGGCTTCTTACTGGAGATGAACTGGTCAACGCATCTTTGCCCAGCAACAGTGAACTGCGTGGTCTCCTATTTTCCCCTTCATCTTTGAAACCACTTCATCTGCCTGTCCACCCCCTCTTCTTCATGGTATTGACGTGATCGTAAAGTGCAATGTCGCGTGTGCTGAACTCCCTCTCGCAGCAGCAGTACAGGAAAGTTAAGAATAGTAGTTGCACTTCGAAGAAAGGGGAAACAATTGTAAACGAAGAAGTTGAAGGAGACTCTTTGAAAGAGCTGCTTTGGAAGAAAAAAAGAAAAAAAGATATAATGAACTGGAAAGGTGGACACAACATCGTTGCGACAACCCGTTCAATAGTAATCATAATAAATGGCAAAACAGAAGCCTGAACCGTAAGCAACAGAAGATGACAGTGCGGGAAACAAAGACAGATAAAAAAAACCATTTTATTTTCTTTTTCCTTGAAAAAGAGAAAAGCCGTCTTCCGTTTCATTTTATGTTGCTGATTGCTAGCGCTGACGACCGAAGCATGCGCATACCATTCAATTAATCGTCAGGTGATCAACGGTCGCGAGCAGGTCGATTCAGAGCGGAACAAGAAGAGCTAGAAAAGAGAGAGAGAGCGAGATCAACAATATTAATAATAAAAATTGATAAAGCAGTAAACATGAAAAACAAAAACGTTTTGGGTTTACCCGCGGCTGTCACAAGAGAAAGAACAGAAAAAAGCGGGGTACCGCAGAGATAAAACACGCAGTTGCAATTCATGTTGCATGCCAGGGGGCGTTCCGTTCTTTATTTTTCTTTTTTTTGACCTGCTCCGTGTGTGTTCCCGCGTTCTGCATTGCCTTTAACGTGTAGAAGAGAGAGAAGAGAAATACAAACACAGCAAACAAGACAAAGGGAAAAAAGGCTAGTCAAAAGAAAGGCTATTAGAAGAAAAGAAAAAAAAAGACAACGTACGCCTCGCACAAGCAAACAGAGAAAAAAAAAGGAGAGGAAGCTGGAGAAAGGGGGTGTAGTCTTCAGAGCAAGCGAAAAAAAAATGAGAAGGTTTGCGAGAGCATTATCAGGGAAAAAAGAAGACAGAAGGATACGAGGGGTGGGTGGGGACAAAACAGAAGAGAGGAACACACCCACTGGAAGGCGGAGAGAGAGGGGCAGCCCCTCGTTGGTCGTTCCTCCTGCCCTATTTATGAAAAGGCAGAAAAGAAGAAGGTAACGTCGGGCTGCGAGTGCAATGCCGGCTGCGTTCCTCCCCCCCCCCCCCAACGTTGTGCTTCACCCGTGGCTCCCACCTGTCTTTCTCCCTCTCTCGCACTCATTTTAAATCCACCCGGTTCTTTATCAAGAAGAGGAGTAGTTGAGAAATGCAAGGAGGAAAACTAAATAATTGGAATCCGCGAGGCAATCAACAGAACATTCTGAGAACGAGAAACAGAAACAGGTGAGAGAGGGTTTATGTGTTATAAAACCGCAGACCCCTCCCAGTTCGACGCGTCGTCAAGGCTTTTTCTCTTCTTTTTTTTTATGTTTATAAAAAAGGGAAAGAAAACGATTTTTGACCAAGGGATGAAGAGAGAAAAACAAATAACTCACAAGGAAAAAAGGCATATAAAGAAAAATGACAGAACGATAGTCTCGTTTCTCTGTTGTGGCTCGCCATCAGCTTAGATGGGTTCCTTTTTTTCTTTGTTCTCGCAACATCTTCTCCTTCCTCAACGAGCTAGTCCATGTATGTCTGCTTGCGTGGAAACACCCACTGCCCAAAGGAGAAAAGAAAGCCGGTCATGATAGGCACCGCGAGAGGGAGAGTACAAATGCACAACAGAGGAGAATTTTCGAACGCTTTAAGAAAACAAAAGTATGAAACAAATCGTTTAGGAACCGCGAAAATGAGTTGGCGCAACAAGGTTTTTTGTGTCGTTGTATTTCTTGAAATAAAAAGCTCCTTTCGGCCCGATCGGCTCTCTACAAGCAGAAGACGAAAAGAAAAACGGTTTTCAGACGATCTGTAAGTGAAGCAGCACTCCTTTTGCTTGGAACAATCCAGAAAACAGTGACGAGCTTTGATGTCGTCAAATGAGTTTATTGTTTTCTTTTTTTCAACTTACATGATCTGGTACAAGCTCACGTAGAAAACCCAAATCACCTTTGTTTGCGCTTGCGCATCCGTGGAAGTGTAGTGGCGGCAGAAAACTCAGAAAAGCCATCTTCTTTTTGAGGGTGGCGGAGGGGCTCCGATTCTGGGAATGAGAAGGAACAAATCAATCTTCAAAAGACGTAAACTAATGAAAATAGTAAAAAGAAACAACAAAGAGTGTGGGTTTTAACTCCCAATAATAGGTATATAGTGATATATATATATATATATATATATAAATAAATAAGTCGTC